AGCCCGGCTGATCCGGCACCAATGGAATTTGCCTCAGAGCATTGCCTCATCTAGCTCATTCCACTTCTTTGCCACCCTATCACTGTCAACCAGCTACTACCGTGACCAATTCACTGTATCAAATTATAATCACAAAACGAATAAAACTGTTCAAAGTCAATTTTCACATTCAGCAATCCATAGCCATACTTCGTTTAGTAGCTATATATCAATATTTTTTGACGAAAGAGGAAATATCCTTAGCATTTTTGGCGAAAGAGGAAATATCCTCACCATTTATGCCAAAAGATATGCTGGGTTCTTAGTCAATAAGTACCCTGCGGGGAAAGTTGTGCCCCTCCAGAAGACAACAAACTACTCAAATCTGACCATCACGTTGGGGTGACCCACCGTGGGAGGATGAGGTGGTGGGGGTTGACTACAAATATTGCCAAACTTGTTTCCTACTGCATTTATATTTAAACTGCATTAACCACATTTGCCCTCGTTGATCACTAGTTCCTACCTTAATTGCCATATCGATTATTTCTTTAGTTTCTCCAATTTACAGTCTCCACCAATAATTTCCTTCACAGTTTTTATCACAAATTTTACAAAATCATCGAGGCACCTACTGCAACTGCACACCTTTCTCCGCCTCAGCAGTCAAGCCGGCTCTGCGTGAGTCTCCTTCAAGCAACACTTTCACAAACTTCACCAGTTTTTTTTTTTAACTGGATGCACTAGCGATGTGCGATTTACATTACGGGAACAGAAGGTAGCTAGATTCCTCGTCGTATTCCGTCACCCAAGATGGTTTTCATATATGAAGTTTGAAAATCTTTCAGCATGAGCTAGCTGGGAAACTTCGACAGCAGCATTCCACTATGGGTTCAGTAGCTACAGGAATTTCAAAGTTTTCCTTCTAGCAGGATGGAGGTATTCTTACGTGGTTATTGCCATTCCTCATGATGGGCTATGCTTTCCACGTAGGGAACTGGAATTTCTGAGGATATCTGCATAAAGAAAACATAAGTATGAAGAAAGGAAAAAGTCAAGCTGAAATACACATGCTGGTTCTTTCCCACACTATCGGCCTGAACGTGCAAATATCTACAGAGGCCAGGGAATGATTGAGAAAACTTATTTATTATAATTATTTATCCCCAAAGGGGGACCTTTAAGAGGTTGCCTGAATATATTTTTTTCGTCCAACTTTTCAATGTTCTTTCACTTATAACTGAGAAAGTCTCAACCCACCGACTTCAAATTTTCAACGCCTGTATACATTAATGAGGACCAAATTTCTGGAACTTACATGATGTTTACGTGTCCTAAATTCAAAATCGGTGATCCCTTTTCCAGTATCCTAGAATAGCTCTGATAACTTCTAAAACCCTCAGTGCCAAAGCTTCAAATTTAAAAAAAAAAAAATAGAAATTCGACGACAGTGGATTATAATAATAAAAAAGAAGCGCTAAACCCTCGATGACAATGGAGAATGAGGATTGAAATATGTAGGTGCAGATCTGACCACTTTGCGGGTAAACCAGCGTGAATTGTTTTCCCCGTTAAATCATGTTAAAAACGTTTTCGTTTGCTTCTTCTGAACAGCTTAACTATTTAATGGCTGATGCATCTTATGGCCAGGATACTACCCATTAAGTTTTGTTTGCATGTGGGCAAATTTGTAGTAAAATTGTAAAAAAAAAAAAAAAAAAGTGGAATCGTTGGAATCTGTGTCATGTCCGTATTACAACAGTGTGGTATGCAGAGTAGCATATCTAAATGCATAACACATCGAACCTTGAAGTGGATGGGTTCAGCAGTATATCACACCGGTGTCAGCTAAAGATACTCAGGCTACAATGGGCACAGGCTCACCAAAACTGGACAGTTGACGAATGGAAACATGTTGCCTGGTCTAACTGTGATTTCTGCTGTGACATGCAGATATTACGATCAGAATTTGGTGTAAACCTTTGGGATGTGGCAGGATGGGCGATTCGCAGTATGAATCTGCCGTCGACAAATCTGCAGCAACTGTGTGATGCTATCATGTTACCATGGACCAGAATCTCTAAGGAATGTTTCCAGCACTTTGCTGAATCCATACCACAAATAATTATATATATAGAATTCCAATCGCTTTCGTGATTTCTCACATTATCAAGGAACTGATAAAGATACAGATTTAATACCTGATAGGCATGATAACGGTTACAGAAGGACCAAAACGTTTAAGTTTCCTCTCCAATATAAAAGATATTTTTTAAGAATACAAACTGTTGTATTTGTTTGTTAAGGGAAAAAAACTGACGACGGTCCTAATAACGTAGCTCCTTTCGAGAAAATGTAGTAGGCATTAATGTGGAGATACCACTGCTCCTATGACATGGGCTCGCTGATTTTAAGTCTACGGCCGGGGGCACTGAAAATCGTATAAAGCTGGCCTTATGGTCAAGGAGGATCCTCGGCAGGTAGCAGCCAGCAGTGATGCATAATTATGTTGGTGAAAAAGTGGTGTATCTATTGACGACTAGTTAAGATGCTGGATGTTTCGATGGTATCTTCAGTGTATGTCGTTGGTGAACCTCGTGCGGTGAGGTCATCCGGACCCTGGTTTAGGCAGAGGAGTCCGTGTAACCTATTTGGAAATGTTTGTTCATTTTTCTATTTCCATGGGAACACGTGCTCACTTTCTTACTACCGCCCAGATTCAGGTAATATTTCCTCCCCTGACACTAGGAAGTAAAACTACACCGCGAGAGCTATGAAGGCCCTTAACAACTTTGTGTAGTTCTTCATTGGGTCCAGGCCTCGCAAAAGTTGGATGAGGTTTGCAAAAATGAGAGAAACTAAGGCTAAGAGATGAAAGAATGGGAGGGAGAGAAAGTCGTAAACTCTATTTACGTCTTTACAAGAGGAAAAAAAAAGTTCATAACTCCCAGTTATTCATGGAAGTCTCAAAAGGGTGCTAAGATGCCGGCGAAGGACTTCTGATTCAAGAAACTGAAGCTACACTCCCCTTGGACAAAACCTAACTACCTCCCTTTTTCCAGGAAGTTGTATAACCATTGCTGGCTCTGAATTTCTAAATAACGTTAATAATAATAATAATGTTGGTCTTCAGTGGAATATACTCTCTTACACTCCCCAAATAATATAGTTTCTTCCTTCAGAGCTAAATGAACATGAAGCTTGTTGATATTGGTGAATATTTTCCCGGTTGCAAGAAACAAGAACAATTCTCTCTCCGGTAGAGCTATGTCAATTAGATCCCATTTCTCGAATCAAACCTGACTGCTTCCCATCAACCAAAAGCTGCACATGAGGTAGAATGGCTCCCTGTGAATGTGATACTCTACCGTTGTTGTAATAATAATAATAAAGAATCCATAACATGGCTATGGTTTGTGTCTTCCTAAGATGGCATTTCGCTTACATCACTTGTGATGCTGAGATTCCTTTCGTAATAAAACAAATACAACTACAGATGTCTGCTGAATGTGGCATATTTCTTAAAATGGCACACTCAGCAGCAATAAGTTCAACATTTGTAGGTGAATTTCCTTTACTGCAAAAGGAATCCCGGCTTCGCAGGTGACTTAAAAAACTGATCTTACGGAGACAACATACAGCAAAGTAATAAATGGTTCTAGTTGGTATAATTTGACATTACGATATAATACATTCAAAGGGAAGAGCTGTACCTCATAGGTCAACGCATTTTCTGGTTCAAATATTTAGTAAGAATACACTGAAAAATCCAAATGTTAATATTCATTATTTTTTCTATTCCACAAAGAGGCATGAAGAGCAGACCAGCGTTACGTGCAGCTGGATCCAAATGGCGTACTGACGACAGCAGTGAATGAGACATGAAGCAAAAATGTTTCATTCGGCGTGGGTTGTTATTATTATATTAAAAACAAGTTAAGCCCCTGTGGGTCAAAATAATGAGTGTAACAAATTTAAATGTCACTGAGGGAAATATTTTGGGAAGCTTTAATGGTGGGTTGGGCAAATATACAAAGGAAAAAAAAAAGCTAGAGATGAATAGGCATTCCTAGGAATGAGTGGGAGTAGCAGGGAATGAATGGGAGTAGCTGGGGATGAGTGGGAGTAGCTGGGGATAAGTGGGAGCAGCTGAGGATAAGTGGGAGTAGCTGGGGGATAAGTGGGAGTAGCTGGGGGATAAGTGGGAGTAGCTGGGGGATAAGTGGCAGTAGCTGGGGGATAAGGGGGAGTAGCCGGGGGATAAGTGGGAGTAGCCGGGGGATAAGTGGGAGTAGCCGGGGGATAAGTGGGAGTAGCCGGGGGATAAGTGGGAGTAGCTGGGGGATAAGTGGGAGTAGCTGGGATGGGAAAGTAGGTCTTCCGGCGAGCTTTTTGTTCTTATGTAATAAATCTTTATGAGAATTCTACCAATGTCACATTTATCGAAGTAAACAGCAATTTGCATTAAAATTAGATAAATATACGAATGGGAATGGGTGAGTAAGAACAGCACCTGCCTAACATGCTATACTAGGCCTACTACAGTACTCTGCCATTATTCTGGTTCTTCAATACTAATGGCTAAAGTGCGGGATACATTGTTTACATGAGAGGAAACACTTGTATACGAGGCGACGTGGCAGCGACAGCCACATGCTAGCACCCACCCACCTGCTCTGCCATAGAACATATGTTCTTTCACTCACGCTATACAACTGACCAGAACCAGTTGCCACATTGTAAATATTAGCCATACATACCAAAGAGACACTTAAATAACAGAAACTTAATATAATCAGCAGAATAAACAGTGATAAAATGGAAAATATGGAACGTTGAGGTAATCTGCCGGCTCCCAATAACCAGCTGATTTTGACACTGACAGAACAGCTGTTCGGTCACTAATCCATCCCACCTGTTGTCTCTGCCGAATCCTTCGAAGTATTTCGAACATAAAGCAAGGCTTAGCAGTACACATAGAAAATCTGCACAAGAGAAACAATATTGAGACTTTCACTCACCATCTTCCAGTCAATAGTACCGGAATCTAGGACTTCCTCCTTGACGTCCTGAGAGTCGAATCTTTCAGAGCTGCTGAATAGGGTGTTCCTAAACCCATCCAGACCCTTGCATGAAGGATCCTCCTTATCAAAAAGGAGATCCAGCATTCCCAAGTCCGTTGAACACATTTTCAGAAAAGTTTTCTATCCGTAGTAAATGAGCATAAGTCCTGAAACACTTCCTTTTCACTGCCACATCTCAATACTATTGTTTATTCTCAACGTCCTAGCTGAAGGGAGAATGTCACACAAGAACCACTGTCCAGGAAAGCCTTCACATACCCTGTGTCGGCGAGAGTCAGCCGGCAACTGATCGTCATTAGGCCAGTTTACCTGTCCACCGGTACCGGAGTCGCTCCCTCATCGTGGTAACGTTCCAGGACGCATAAGATACGAAGAAACCAACGCGTACGTCCACCCTTCACCAGAAACGGGTTTGCACTAACACAATGTTGTGTTCACCACACAAGGTCTTATCGTTCAAACAACTCAGACTTTTCATGTTTCTTTTCTTCTACACTACCTTTACCAAGATATAACCTGCGGGATGCATAAACGTTTATGCGCCAAACTGTGTGGGTTATAGTATTAGTATTATATTGATGTACAGATATTAAATAGCTTCAAAATAAGGATTAGAAATTAGACAGAGAAACACATCGAAGCAATGTGGTAGAGAGGAGCTCTGTTAGAGTGATCTCTTTTAAAGCTCCGCCCCAATACTAGCCTCTCGCAGGGCACCTTCGTCTCGATTCATTAATTCAGTGTTGTTGCTATATTTAACAGCTTTACAGCGTGGTAAATGTAATGATCGTTTATTTTAAAAAAGTAAATTTCGAAAAACTCATTTTCAAAGATTTCCTGACCAGAGTTCAAACTGAAATGGATAAAAATCAGCAACCACAACCTCTGGTTTAGCTGCAAGATGTCAGGATGCTGCGATGAAAATGCTTTTGAATATATCGTAAGTGAATACATGAATATTTTTCCAAAGGAATATGACTATTTCACTGTATTTTTTTGTATATAAAGCGGTAACTCGTGAATTCTAACCATAAATTCTTCCATACTATTTAAAGCGGGAACTTTAAATGAGAGGGGCGTGGCAAATTTAAAAACCAAAGCGCTGAAAGACTTGGTAAAAGTACAAAACAAAAATAAAGTTGATTAGTTTAGTAGGCTTAAAGCCTCTCGGCAAACGACATATAATAGGAATTTTATAGGCTCTTTTTAGAAGCAAATAAAAATCAAAAGTTTTGCCAAAAAAATCGTCTACGTGTTTAAAGGCGCAGGGAAGGGGGGTTGCCTTGATTCTTGTGAAGGTCTCTTGATCCATGGATTTAGAGCTACCTCTCTCCCTTTTCTTCTGCCAAAAATATCCTCGTTTTCATTTCCTAGGCGCTGTATGACCCCTAGTAGTTTAGCTCTTCCCATTAATACAATAACACGAATAAATATTTATGAGCAATAAAATGACCACATGATAAATGAGGTGATTTATACATTTAACTGTAAACGATTATATAATTATAGCTTTAGTATATAGACTTTTTTAGTTAATTACAGTTTATCACAACTGTATAATATATATATATATATATATAATATAATATATATATATATATATATATATATATATATATATATATATATATATATATACTACAGAAACTTGTATATATAAATTTTACAATATTATCGTGTGACATGTTGTAATGATAGTCTGGTAAAAGTGGTTTTACTATCAGATAACCAATGTACTGATACGAGCTTCAATACATTTCACTTACGAACATAAAGAAGACTTAACAGGCGAAGGACACTATGTCAATGAGATACATTACAAACCTAGTCGTAAGACCACACTATAAACCGATAAAGCCAGTGTTTCACTCTCATTACACCCAGTCTTTGGGTGTACTGGGTGTGTACAGCCTAGGTATAATTAAGGCCTAAACAAGATAAATAGCTGGACAATAAACGCCCACTTCCTCCACCCTAAAACCTCTCCAGCATCACAATGTTATTCTCGGTGATTATTCATTTCTATGTCATATTTAATTTTTTTTTTCATCTACTTCATGTCAGTTGCTTTTAAGTCAGATATCGTCGATGTATTTTACACGCATTTTTCAGTAGGAAATCGTTACTGTATTTTCAGAATATACGTAAAGCACTTTTTCCACGCATTGTCTTGAAAAATAAACAGGAGTCAATGTAGGTATCTGGGCAAACTCAGAGACCTTAGCACTTGCCGTAACACCTAACACAATGCGTAACATACGCAGAATGTCTGACAAAGTAGCACACACAACACACAAGTGTCAAGAGAGTCAGGACGAGCACTGCTCAATCCTCCTCCCTGAGGTAAACACTGGACACACTTGCGTCAGAACATTGCCAACGCGGAGCTCTACCATTTGTCTTCCCACTGAAAAATGCACGTAAACAAATCCCTATTTCCCCGTAAATCAGGATTATTTTAATTTAATTTGTATTGCTTGTATACACGGCTTTCTATTCAAGGTTGTTTATACCCTTTTTCTGTTGAAAGTTTGATAATAATGGGCTTCTTTAAGAGGGTTGTACTATTGAAAACGTGTGGAAAAAGAAAGTGTGTTGCGACACCCAGCGCCTTACTGCAGGAACTGTCCTAATAGTCTCCACGTCGACGGCTTGCACCATTGTGATCCATACTATTTTTATTGCTACTACTGCTACTACTACTACTACTACTACTACTACTACTACTACTACTACTACTACTACTACTACTACTACTACTTCTACTACCACCACCGCCACCACTACTACTACTACCACCACCACCACCACCACCACTACTACTACTACTACTACTACTACTACTACTACTACTACTACTACTGCCCCAAGAAAATGAGCCACTGATTTTTGGGGTTATCTTAGGTAATTTACACGTTACTATATTTGATAATTGTACCTATTTGGACCTTTACCTATGTAAATAGACTTACTGCTACTACTTCTACGACTTTGATTACTACCACTACTACTACCACTACCACCATAGTACTACTACTACAGTTCCTTTGCTACTAGCAACATAAGTAACTGAAAAATAATAAACACTCTTTTACAAATAGTTATGTATTTATAAGTTTAGCATTTTGCATTAATAAAATTGATAACCTCTTTGTATAATTTACACTAAATCACAATAATTTAGATACTTTTCTCAAGGCAACAATTCTTGTTGCCTAATACATTCTGTGATGCATACTCTGATTATAGTTACTCCCAAAATACATATTCCTAATACATTTATTTTCTATTATACATACTTTTAGTATGCTCATTCTTATTATATAAATTGCCAGCATGCTTACTCTCATTATTCACACTTAATATGTTTAATCTCACTATATGTACTCTTAGCATGATTACTCTCATTATACATGCTCCTAACCTGTTTGCTGTCATCGTACGTACTCTTAGAATATTTTCTTTCATTATAGATTCTTCTATTACTCTTACTCCCATTACACATTGTAAATATGTATGCCACTATCAGGTATACATGCTCCAAGTATTCTTATATGTACTGCACTTCTATTATTCTAGTGCTATGTATATCTCCAGGCGCTAAATGACCCTACGGTTTTAATACCTCTCCCCGAGTTAAAAAAAATACTGTGTATATACCTATTACACCCCCGATTATACACACCACCAGGTATGTGGACTCCACACATGTTACTGAAGAATGCATTGCATCATCCCTGTAGAATCTTGGCTGCAGCGTATGTTACCTAACCATATTTTTAACACACTTGAATTTGCTTTTACTTATTTATGGATTTGTGAGAATTATAAGGCTTGTGTTTACATTTACACCACTAGTCAAGGATGCCTTAATCCGTAAAATACGGTTTATAATAAATTCTCAGCAGATATACACATATATATATATATATAAACACTGATCTCTGGCTGAAGGAGATTCGAACCTACGAACCTTGGAACAAGGTACGCAGTGCTTTACCAATCTACCCACACTGGACCAATACCTTGGAGTCCAGCTTGCGCTAGACTTTGATCCAAGGCAGCCAGCTTTCAGGGAGAAGGCTTACAGCTTTTCATCTCATCCCCTGCATGCATCAGCCTTACTAGAGATATTAACAATGCAAGGAATTCGCAAGAGCAGGCGAAATATACACAAACACTGATCTCTGGCTGAAGGAGACTCGAACCTACGAACCTTGGAACAAGGTACGCATGTATGTATGTATGTGTATATATATATATATATATATATATATATATAATATATATATATATATATATATATATATATATATATATATATATATATATATATATATATATATACAAAACAACCACTGTGAAAGAGTAGTGAAATTCCAAGCGCTTTCGTGACTACGACTACTCACATTGTCAAGGAACTATGATAGTTCCTTGACAATGTGACTAGTCATGAAAGCGCTTGGAATTTCACTACTCTTTCACAGTGGTTGTTTTGCATATTTTAAAAGCACCTGTTTACTGTGATTTTATTATATATATATATATATATATATATATATATATATATATATATATATATATATATATATATATATATATATAATATATATATATATATTATATATATATATATATATATATATATATATATATATATATATATATATATATATATATATATATATATATATATATATATATATATATATATATATATATATATAAGTTGTTTGTAGTTCTACTGGGTCTTGAGTTTTTAGTTAGAAACAGGAATTCAGTGGTTTATGGATGGGTCGTACAGCCCATTACTCATAAACATTCTTCCTTCCTTCGCATCTTCCGCTCAAGTGAGTATTAATGTCATGTACTTCTATGAGACGCAGTGACGCAAGGGAAGTCCAGGAATGATGTAATTCTCAGGATTCTTCCTTCTGATACTTCTTACACGGAACAGCAAACTTTATTACATACAATAAATATTTTTTTTTGCTCTACTGTAACATATCCTCTCAAGCAAGCAGAAGTTAAATATATATGTATATATTATATAAACGTTTATAGTGAGAATTCGACGTTGAAGGATGAGTCAAGAAAAATCCCTGGGTTCAACACTGTATTACTATGGCAACATGCATGATTACGTCAAAATGACGTCATGAGGTATTTCCCAGAGGACCAGACAAATATCTGCCCAAAAACCATGTTATCTGGCATGCTGGTGGTTTATACGAATCAAAAACATCCATGAGCGTGCTCAGAGTACCCAGGAACGTATAAAAGGATTACAAATATGTAGATATTAAGGTGTAATAGGAATACTGTTAGGCTGGAGGCTGGGTGAGAGAGTAGCACCGTGCCAGCGTGGAGCTACACTATTGGTGTGGTACAAGGCCGGCTCCTCCCCAGAGTTACTCACCTCTACACACGCCCTCCCACCACGGCTAGTGTTGTTGTTGCGTAGCTTAGGATACCAGCTTGGAAATGTTTCACGTTGGCGTGGAATATATACACAGAGATGTATTTGTGTATATACACAGAGAGGTTTGTTTCTCTCGTTATATGTACACGGGGAAGTTTGTATCTCTCAGTGTAAGCTGTCACTTAGGTTTGTGTACATAACGTACAAATATTTTTTACATTGGTCTTCAGGGCACACATGGTCATAAAAAGTACATTAAGTAGATTTACCCTAAGATGACCTCTTATAATCAAACAATGTATTTTTGTATACGTACCGAGAGGTGTGTATCTCTCGGTGTACACACTGAGAGATGCTGATCTCTCGGTGTACACACACTGAGAGATGTTGATCTTTCGGTGTACACACACACACACACTGAGAGATGCTGATCTCTCGGTGTACACACACCGAGAGATGTTGATCTCTCAGTGTACACACTGAGAGATGTTGATCTCTCGGTGTACACACACCGAGAGATGTTGATCTCTCGGTGTACACACAATGAGAGATGTTAATCTCTCTGTGTACACACACTGAGAGATGTTGATCTCTCGGTGTACACACACTGAGAGATGCTGATCTCTCGGTGTACACACACTGAGAGATGCTGATCTCTCGGTATACACACACAGAGATGTTGATCTCGGTGTACACACGCTGAGAGATGTTGATCTCAGTGTACACACACTGAGAGGTGTGTGTCAGTGTACATACACTGAGAGTTTACTTTGATAACAATTTTGCAAGTTTAGGTATTCATGACTTGAGTGTCAAAATTAAATTCCTCTTGTAGTTACTCACGTCACTCTAGTGGCTCTACCCTCCCCTTCCTCGGATCGAATTTGACTGCCTCCCACTAACTCCAATAACCCTTTTGACCTTGATGAAGATTGAGACACGCAACATATGGGAATCTTTATTGAAGAAACGTTTCTTCAATAAAGATTCCCATATGTTGCATAAGTGTCTCAATCTTCAATTTGTCGGTTTTCAAACCCATTTATCACCTTCTGACCTTCAAGGAAGTTTCCTTGATGCTGGCCAGGGACTCGTTGATCCCAGGGCTCCTGGCCAGCGAACTTGACTGTCCCCCATTCTCCAAGCATTGTATGACCCCTACGAATTTAGCGCTTGTTAAATATAATAATAATAATTACACAACCGTTATGGGCTTAATTTCACATTGAGTTACTAATCGCTGTAGGCGATTAGTAACTCAATGGTAGTAGTGAGAGAAGATAACTCGAGAAAGCCACTTCAGTTTGGCTTATTTCCGTTGGGAGTCGTGTGGTTCTCTTCCCCCAGAATGCAACCCACAACAGCCGGCGAAAACCCAGGAACATACTGTAGCTAAGGGAATACGGACAGCAAGTGTAAACATGCCCAAAGTGTCTACTCGTCACAGGTTCGAGTTGTGATTCGACGGCGCTCACCGGGGGTTTTATCGAGAGAATGATAGAAACCATAGTGGGCGACACGTCTGTCAAATAAAGATACCCAGGTGTTGCACATCGTTGGGTGTTTCAATATATATTTATCATTAATTACTTTTAAAATTAGGCTTACGTATCAACAGATGAAAATTAATATCAACAAAATGTTTGTTCTAAATCTCATTACAATCACTAATAAAATATAATTTTTCCCAAGTAACCCATACTTAGGAGAGGAAAGTTACGACATTTCGGTCCGGTCACGTCAATGTGGCCCAGAACGAACCGAAACATCATCAGAGACACCATCTCCTAAGTGGGTTATTTGTGAATTGTTCCAATCACGGTATCGTGCCTTATCATTCCAAAAAAAAAAAACTATTGAAGAATTGGTGTATTCACACTGCTGCCACGTACACTAGGCTCCACTTGGTGGTGTAGCCTCGTGTAGACTCGAGTAGCTTAAAATAGCTATTCCTCGCCTCACTTTCCTTCTAGTCCGCTTATATCTCTTCCCACGTCTCAGTATATTCCCAGATATCGAGAGGAATGGGTATGTTATTCTAATAGTCGTTGTGTATACCGGCCCAGTAATGAGATGTGTTGGATAATTGGTCTACTGCTAGCTCTCGTTGTGTGCTTGATGCTGGTGAATGTGTCCTTGATGCTGTGTAAATGTGCCCTTTGATTCTGGATGAATGTGTCTTTGATGTTAGTGAATGTGTCCTTGATGCTAGTGAATGTGTCTTTGATGTTAGTGAAGGACTTGATTAGGGGATTGGAGTTATCCCCTTTTCCGGATCACACTTGATTGCTGCATGAATATACATTTTTTTTTTCAGTTGCTTAAATGTTTAGAATAAATACATATGTTCTCAGTCTCCAATACCTGAAACAAAGGAGGTTCACTTTTGTCAGCCTTCTTCTAGGCTTTTGTCTAAAAAATTGCACTAGTCTCATCATGCTGTGTGATTATAATTGTTAATGTTTTGTACGGTTTATAGAAGAGAAGAAGAGTATTTTCCAGCACAACTAAACCTTAGACAGAAACTAGTGATGTCAACGTTGTTGATTAAAATATTTATAGATGTTGACGTGAGAGAGTGAATGTTAAAATGCTGGGGAGAGGTGTGAAATTAAAAATGAAACTGATGTGAAGTGGGATTGTTACGGTTGTTCTTTGCTGATGACACAGTACTTTTGGAAGATATTGAAGAGGAGTTGAAGGCACTGTATGAACATGATGGGTTTAGAGCTTCCTTTATGAATATAATGATAACGAGAAGTTGCAGAGGCATGTGATGAAGTTTAAGAGGGTGTGTAAACGAAGGAAGTTGAAAGTGAAAGTAGAAAAAAGAGGAAGGTGATGAGAACAAGATTAAGCAGTGAAAGGGTGACTCGAGATTTGAAAGGAGTATGGAAAAATTGAATGTTTCTAGGCATTTGTGAGTGGATGTTGAGATGGTTTGGGTATCTGGAAAGTATGAAACGAGGTTAGTTGACCACTAGAATGTATAAATTTGCGATGGATGAATTAAATTCACAGAGAAGCGCTAAACCTGTAAGAGTTATACAGCACCTGGGGAAAGGTGGGCAATCAGGTGTGATTAAAAGTAGGGAATGATAGCTCTAATTCCTTAGATCAAGAGCACTTTACCAGCATCAGTGAAGAAGGTTTTGTTCGGAATATTAACCCGGAGGGTTAGTCACCCAGGATAACCAATAGATATATTATCAAACTGGCTTATTTCAGTTGGGGTCCTCTAATTCTCTTTCTCATGATGAAAGCCACACCAATCTGCTAACACCCAGATACCTGCTTAATTCTAGGTGAACAGGGACAGCAGATGTAAGGAAACATGCCCAACGTTTCCACTCGTTCGGTGATCGAACCCTGGTCCCTCAGTGTGTGTGAGCTGAAGCCGCTACCAATTAAGCCACGAGTACCCACTGAACTCCCTATGAAGGGTGGGATGGATCTGAACCTTTATGATCCACATGCAGACAAAAGGCTTTAAGCATAACGGGACAACATATTTTGATCGTCACTTGTGTGCTGACGTTCGTCATGACTGTCTTGAGCATTTGCAAGAACTGTAACGCCTTGATGAAGATCCTTATAAGAAAGTTTCATTGCGGTGTGTGCGTGACGGGGACTTGGAGTCTGTTGCTGGTGCTCGGCTACCTCCTCATGCAACATCCCACACCCCAGCCTCGTGAGGAGCACGAATCTCTTCACTTCCTGACTAGGCGGGCGTACCTGGTGCAGGGAAAGTACCTGAGTAAATACCTACCCTACGTGGTGGTGCCTGTGGTGGAAGAGACGTTGGTAATGGGAAATGTTCTTACTCAAACTTCAGAGAGAGTGATGCTACGACCAGTGACGCTCCGTCATTCAGAGCCTCCCCGTACGACAATCTCTTACCTCATCAGGTGAGTCCAACCTGTCTGCTCACTTGACATTCCTTTGTAAATCATCAGCGGTTTTCCTCTCTCCTTGTCCCTGCCTTGTCTTCCTAATTTGGCTTGTCAGCTGTCGCTAATGTTATTGCTGCCTCTATCGATCTTGCTTTTTTTTAACTTTTTACTGCCACTTTCTTCTATCATCTGCCCTTGCTACTCTTTCCCTCAGTTTATAATCAACAACCTATTTTCAAGCATATCACATTTAAACTTCTGGAGATACTCGCTCCATCACTGCGAGCTTAGGAAAACGGTACTCTCACCACTGCCTATGCAACACACACACATACATAGTCACTGTAAATTGTCAGGTTGTGCTGACAGTCCAAGAGAAAGCAAGTGATTAGTTGCAAAAAGAATAAAAAGGCACAATACCATGACTGGAACAATGCACAAATAACCCGCACATAGGAGAGAGGAGATTACGAAGTGACTTTGTAAATGGTTGAAGCCGGACCGAAACGTCGTCGTAAGCTCCTCTTTCCTATGTACGGGTTATTTGTGTATTAGTTACAAATTGTTCCAGCCACAGTAATGTGAGAGATTTTGGGAGATGTTAAGTGAATGTATAGGAGCCTTTGAACCAAGTGAGAGAGTAATTGTGGTAGGGGACTTGAATGCTAAAGTAGGAGAAACTTTTAGAGAGGGTGTGGTAGGTAAGTTTGGGGTGCCAGGTGTAAATGATAATGGGAGCCCTTTGATTGAACTTTGTATAGAAAGGGGTTTAGTTATAGGTAATACATATTTTAAGAAAAAGAGGATAAATAAGTATACACGATATGATGTAGGGCGAAATGACAGTAGTTTGCTGGATTATGTATTGGTAGATAAAAGACTGTTGAGTAGACTTCAGGATGTACATGTTTATAGAGGGGCCACAGATATATCAGATCACTTTCTAGTTGTAGCTACACTGAGAGTAAAAGGTAGATGGGATACAAGGAGAATAGAAGCATCAGGGAAGAGAGAGGTGAAGGTTTATAAACTAAAAGAGGAGGCAGTTAGGGTAAGATATAAACAGCTATTGGAGGATAGATGGGCTAATGAGAGCATAGGCAATGGGGTCGAAGAGGTATGGGGTAGGTTTAAAAATGTAGTGTTAGAGTGTTCAGCAGAAGTTTGTGGTTACAGGAAAGTGGGTGCAGGAGGAAGAGGAGCGATTGGTGGAATGATGATGTAAAGAGAGTAGTAAGGGAAAAAAAGTTAGCATATGAGAAGTTTTTACAAAGTAGAAGTGATGCAAGGAGGGAAGAGTATATGGAGAAAAAGAGAGAAGTTAAGAGAGTGGTGAAGCAATGTAAAAAGAGAGCAAATGAGAGAGTGGGTGAGATGTTATCAACAAATTTTGTTGAAAATAAGAAAAAGTTTTGGAGTGAGATTAACAAGTTAAGAAAGCCTAGAGAACAAATGGATTTGTCAGTTAAAAATAGGAGAGGAGAGTTATTAAATGGAGAGTTAGAGGTATTGGGAAGATGGATGGAATATTTTGAGGAATTGTTAAATGTTGATGAAGATAGGGAAGCTGTGATTTCGTGTATAGGGCAAGGAGGAATAACATCTTGTAGGAGTGAGGAAGAGCCAGTTGTGAGTGTGGGGGAAGTTCGTGAGGCAGTAGGTAAAATGAAAGGGGGTAAGGCAGCCGGGATTGATGGGATAAAGATAGAAATGTTAAAAGCAGGTGGGGATATAGTTTTGGAGTGGTTGGTGCAATTATTTAATAAATGTATGGAAGAGGGTAAGGTACCTAGGGATTGGCAGAGAGCATGCATAGTTCCTTTGTATAAAGGCAAAGGGGATAAAAGAGAGTGCAAAAATTATAGGGGGATAAGTCTGTTGAGTGTACCTGGTAAAGTGTATGGTAGAGTTATAATTGAAAGAATTAAGAGTAAGACGGAGAATAGGATAGCAGATGAACAAGGAGGCTTTAGGAAAGGTAGGGGGTGTGTGGACCAGGTGTTTACAGTGAAACATATAAGTGAACAGTATTTAGATAAGGCTAAAGAGGTCTTTGTGGCATTTATGGATTTGGAAAAGGCGTATGACAGGGTGGATAGGGGGCAATGTGGCAGATGTTGCAAGTGTATGGTGTAGGAGGTAGGTTACTGAAAGCAGTGAAGAGTTTTTACGAGGATAGTGAGGCTCAAGTTAGAGTATGTAGGAAAGAGGGAAATTTTTTCCCAGTAAAAGTAGGCCTTAGACAAGGATGTGTGATGTCACCGTGGTTGTTTAATATATTTATAGATGGGGTTGTAAGAGAAGTAAATGCGAGGGTCTTGGCAAGAGGCGTGGAGTTAAAAGATAAAGAATCACACACAAAGTGGGAGTTGTCACAGCTGCTCTTTGCTGATGACACTGTGCTCTTGGGAGATTCTGAAGAGAAGTTGCAGAGATTGGTGGATGAATTTGGTAGGGTGTGCAAAAGAAGAAAATTAAAGGTGAATACAGGAAAGAGTAAGGTTATGAGGATAACAAAAAGATTAGGTGATGAAAGATTGAATATCAGATTGGAGGGAGAGAGTATGGAGGAGGTGAACGTATTCAGATATTTGGGAGTGGACGTGTCAGCGGATGGGTCTATGAAAGATGAGGTGAATCATAGAATTGATGAGGAAAAAGAGTGAGTGGTGCACTTAGGAGTCTGTGGAGACAAAGAACTTTGTCCTTGGAGGCAAAGAGGGGAATGTATGAGAGTATAGTTTTACCAACGCTCTTATATGGGTGTGAAGCGTGGGTGATGAATGTTGCAGCGAGGAGAAGGCTGGAGGCAGTGGAGATGTCATGTCTGAGGGCAATGTGTGGTGTGAATATAATGCAGAGAATTCGTAGTTTGGAAGTTAGGAGGAGGTGCGGGATTACCAAAACTGTTGTCCAGAGGGCTGAGGAAGGGTTGTTGAGGTGGTTCGGACATGTAGAGAGAATGGAGCGAAACAGAATGACTTCAAGAGTGTATCAGTCTGTAGTGGAAGGAAGGCGGGGTAGGGGTCGGCCTTGGAAGGGTTGGAGGGAGGGGTAAAGGAGGTTTTGTGTGCGAGGGGCTTGGACTTCCAGCAGGCATGCGTGAGCGTGTTTGATAGGAGTGAATGGAGACAAATGGTTTTTAATATTTGACGTGCTGTTGGAGTGTGAGCAAAGTAACATTTATGAAGGGATTCAGGGAAACCGGCAGGCCGGACTTGAGTCCTGGAGATGGGAAGTACAGTGCCTGCACTCTGAAGGACGGGTGTTAATGTTGCAGTTTAAAAACTGTAGTGTAAAGCACCCTTCTGGCAAGACAGTGATGGAGTGAATGATGGTGAAAGTTTTTCTTTTTCGGGCCACCCTGCCTTGGTGGGAATCGGCCGGTGTGATAATAATAATAATAAAAAAAAAATATATATATATGTGTGTGTGTGTGTGTGTGTGTGTGTGTGTGTGTGTGTGTGTGTCGTGCCGAATATGTAAAACTGGTCAATTAGCAAGAACTCATTTAAAATTAAGTCCTTTCTAAATTTTTCTCTTATATATTTAAAAATATATTTTTTTCATTAATGATAATGTAAAAATTTATAATTTTGCACCAAAAGAATCTTAGAAAACTTACCTGACCTTATTATAACAAGAACAATTTATTTTAGCCTTACCCAACTAAATATATTTTAGATACATTTGCAATAATTTAATACTAAACAAACACAGTGAAATATATTTTTTTCGTTAGGTTCAGAATGATTTTGGCGAAATTATTGCATACACAAATTTTCACTTGTCCTATATGGCAAGATGAACGTTGCTATTTAAGCCAAGATCGCAAGTTCTGCCTATTCGGCACGACATATATATATACATACATTTATTCTTTCCTGTTGGAACGAACGTTGCTGGCCGGCGGTGATGTCATGTCGACAGGGTTATGCCTCCAATGTTCGCAAACATGCCGAAAGACGGTGCTGAATGGAAGCCTTGGGGACCTAAACTGAAGACGATTAGTGACTACTTCAGGTACCTGCAGACACCTCAGACCTCCTGTCATAAGCTAATAAGGCTTGGCGGTTCATACTGCATAGCCAAAAAGGACCATCAATATCACTTTGACGGCCACAAGGTGAGCTACCTCCCTCTAGTGACTTGTGTAATTAGACAGCTGGTGAAAAAAAAACGCACAAACTTTATTGTAATTGCATTTTACGCTGTGTAGTCCCCTCAAGGAAGGTTCCTTGATGTTGGTGAGGGGCTCTTGATTTAGGGAATTGGATCTGTGCTCCAGTTCTCCGAACTAAGCCTGAATGCCTTCCACATCCCCCCCCCCCCCAGGCGCTGTATAATCCTCCGGGTTTAGCGCTTCCCCCTTGATTATAATAATAATAATAATACGCTGTGTAGTACTTTATCAAATTATGAACCATATTTACCTATACACAGTGAAATGTTCGATTAAAAGCTTGTTCTGCATCCTGTATCTTTTTTTTTTTTCACTATTGTCGGCAGCACGCCATTTGGATCCTGGAAATGGTTACTTATATGGTCAAATAACGTACATATGTATGTGACAGCTGATGTTACCTTGGCCTGTTTTACTAGTACGTGTGTGTGGACTCGGCTATGGAGCTCCTAGGAAACAGGGACCCCCAGGCATGCCTCGTTCTCTCCTTCGGCACAGAGAGGGACACCAGCTTCGACGAGAGCGCATCGGTTATCCCCTGCGAAATACATATGTTCGACGTGTTAAACTACAACCCGGAACTGGCCAAGTTTAACGACAGTGTCTACTTTCATGTGGTGGGTTACTCTTTTTGTCTGTTTATGGGGTCCCAGCACGTGTGGGTTACTCTATCCCTCGTTGAATATATACTCAGGACCCACAGTGTAATGGGTCACTGTTAGATAATATATACCCTGGCCAAACCTTGTAATACTTCAGATTTCAAAGCACAGCCATACTACCCCCCCCATCCGAGGATACTGCCAACAACAGACGACCAAAAAAAAAAAAGGTGAACAGGGACAACAGGTGTAAGGAAACCTGCTCATATGTCTTGCCCACTCTAGAAATCGAACCCGGATATCTCTTGTTGTAAGACGAATGCTATAACATTGAACAACGGGCACTCTATACCCTGGGCACGGCAGCATTAACCACGTTAGCGGGCATTTAGTAACGGGAATTTTAAGGTAATTTGTCCCTTCGAAAGAGTAGGGTAGAGGGGATGGGGGTGTGATGTCTTCTTAATTAATACTGGTGAAGGACTATTGACCCAGGGAATTGTTACTATCCTACCTCTCCTTTCATCACCACCCAATTACCTCCATTTCACCTGGAGCTGTATGACCCCTTACGGGTTCAGTCACCTGCGTTCGAACCCGAACGCAGGTGAATAGCTGAATCCTGTTTAATGCTCGAACCCTATTTATGTTTCCTTGCGCCTGCTACGCCTGTTTACTTAACCGTAAACAGGTATCTGGGTATTAGTTCAGTGATACGGATGGAATACCAGGGGTGGTACTGTATGTCTTCGATAGGTATGGGCTGTAAAATGATCTGAAGTAAATAAGTCAGTATTTTTTATTGGAAGAAGATATCAATATTGAAATGAATGATGACTTGAATAAAGACTGCGTGCGTGCGTGCGTGCGTGCGTGCGTGCGTGCGTGCGTGCGCTCAAGTATGTATATGCTGAGATTGTTAATTTGGTTCGGCATTTTTGCTGCCCATCATATCCAGATTTGACTATGATGCCTTACCCTAGTGCTTACCTATAGTAACGTACGTATTAATAACTTACTCGCATAAAATCTGATGTACAGTTACTTGAGAATAATGTATACCGGCACCAGAGTATCGCTAGCTGTTGATCTAAGTTATATCTCACCCACAGGAAGGGCTCTCCGACAAGAACATTGTTAAGTTTTACTCCAACCTTAACATAACCAACAGGCTGGACACGCTGAGGGGCCACATATTTAAACATAAACTATTCCCACGGCCCATTAACATTCTGAAGGTAAGAACTCTGTGGAGAAGTTAGTCTCGTTTGAGAGGCGAGACTTGTCCTCTTCTATAGTAAAAGGATGCTCAGCTAGAAGCAAACCTTTATTTATAGACTATATTCCTCTCTAAACAGAGTTTTAAAACGTCAAGACTGACTTGAACAGAACTGGATCATGTCAAGACTGACTTGAACAAAGCTCAATCATTTCAAGATTGACTTTATAACGTCTCTTGTGTACACCATGTATGCGAGAGAATTGTTATGGAAAAGAGTTGTGGGAAAGATAGAAAGTAAGATTATAAATCAACAAATTAGACACATGAAGTAACGTCGATGTGTGGCTCAGGTGTTTGCAGTTTAGAATATAGGTGATCAGAACTTACAAATGTAACAAGAGCTGGATTTCTTGCACTTGTGGAATCGTAAAAGGCTAAAGACGGTGGAGAGGACTCCAGTGCGACAAGTGTTGCAAAACTGTGGAATTGGAAACGCTATGCTAACAACTGTAAATATTATGGAGTTTTCATTTTGTGAATGATACTCAGATTGTGTAGGAGGGGGGGATGCCAGGCGAGTGAAAGCCTGGTATTATTGCATGGGAGAGTGGCAGCCTGGTATTATTGCATAGGAAGGTAGCAGGCTGGCGCTAATGTATGTCAGGGTGTCAGCCTGGTATTATTGCATGGGAGGGTGGCAACCTGAAATTATGATTATATAGAAGGGTGGCAGCCTGGACAAGAATAAAGAACCATATTCCGCAGGTGGACATCGAGGACAGCGAGTGGGAAGCCTTCAGAGACATTGCCCAGGACCCACTCTTTGATATTGTTGGTCAGGTGGGTCAGCTTGTATTGTCTCTTCCTGGAACTGCTGCATCTATTGCCTCTCTTCCTGGCACTGCTGTATCCAGTGTCTCTTCCTGGCACTGATGCATCCAGTGTCTCTCTTCCTGGCACTGCTGCATTCATTGTCTCTCTTCCCGGCACTGCTGCATCCATCCTCTCTCTTCCTGGCACTGCTACCTCCATTGTCTCTCTTCTCGGCACTCCTGCATCCAGTGTCTCTCTCTTCCCGACACTTTAAACAGTATTTCCAAATCATTAACACACACCACAAACTACAAACAACAGGCCAAGTGTCTATCAACCACTAACATACCGCTGTCCCCTCTAGGGAGGTTCCTTGGCCCTGGTGAGGGGGCTCTTGATCTAGGGAATTGGATCTGTGCTCCAGTTCCCTGAAATAAGCCTGAATACCTTCCATGCTTTCCCCTCCCTACAGGCGCCGTATAATCCCTACGGGTTTAAGCGCTCCCCCATGATTATACTACTAATAACAAATACCTTTGTTCTTGTAGCTGCAAATAGGTAGTTATATCTAAATTCTTACACGCATAAAGTTCACAACATCTGAAGCTGTGGTTGCGCAGGTGGCGATAGAGGTTCACGCACTTCAGGTGGCCTACCTGTACAAGACACCCGAGGAGAAGCTGCGGGCGCTGCAGGATCGATACGACGTTCTCAGGATGATAGAGGTCAGTGCTTAATTATCTTGAGAATCACTAAAGAACGTGACGCTAAATTTGCTCATCTTTACATGTGCTGTGATACCGTGAACGTAAATTATTATTATTACTGTTAAACTCGCGGGGAAGCGATAAATCCTGCCTGAGGAATGAGATGTACTGGGAAGTGTTCATGTTTCACTGGAGAAAGTGAGGGTTTCACTGGAGAAAGGGAGGGTTTCACTGGAGAAAGGGAGGGTTTCACTGGAGAAAGGGAGGGTTTCACTGGAGAAAGGGAAGGTTTCACTGGAGAAAGGGAGGGTTTCACTGGAGAAAGGGAGGGTTTCACTGGAGAAAGGGAGGGTTTCACTGGAGAAAGGGAAGGTTTCACTGGAGAAAGGGAGGGTTTCACTGGAGAAAGGGAGGGTTTCACTGGAGAAAGGGAGGGTTTCACTGGAGAAAGGGAAGGTTTCACTGGAGAAAGGGAGGGTTTCACTGGAGAAAGGGAGGGTTTCACTGGAGAAAGGGAGGGTTTCACTGGAGAAAGGGAAGGTTTCACTGGAGAAAGGGAGGGTTTCACTGGAGAAAGGGAGGGTTTCACTGGAGAAAGGGAAGGTTTCACTGGAGAAAGGGAGGGTTTCACTGGAGAAAGGGAGGGTTTCACTGGAGAAAGGGAAGGTTTCACTGGACAAAGGGAGGGTTTCACTGGAGAAAGAGAGGGTATCACTGGAGAAAGGGAGGGCGTCACTGGAGAAAGGGAGGGCTTCACTGGAGAAAGAGAGGGTTTCACTGGAGAAAGAAAGGGTTTCACTGGAGAAAGGGAGGGCTTCACTGGAGAAAGGGAGGGTTTCACTGGAGAAAGGGAGGGTTTCACTGGAGAAAGAGGGTTTCACTGGAGAAAGGGAGGGTTTCACTGGAAAAAGGGAGGGTTTCACTGGAGAAAGGAAAGGTTTCATTGGAGGAAAGTGAGGGTAGCTCCAGTTCATTTCATCAGGAACTCATCAGTAGCATCAATTTAGCCTACGATCCTTGACAAGTATCGTCCGCTGTGTTGCAGGCTCGTGGCTTCCGTCGAGTCTTGTACTGGGACAACGACCAATCTACATTCTTGTACGACGACGATGGCACCAAGCTGCAGACGGTGGGCGAGCTCCTCTACGTGAACACAAACTGGTACAACATGACCTTTAAGAAGGAACTAGCAGCAGCTGGGATCACCTACCGCCGGGCCAAGTGACGGCATATGTATATATATATATATATATATATATATATATATATATATATAATATATATATATATATATAAAATATATATATATATGAAAGAGATGAGGTTATAACTGAGAGTTTCGTAACATGTCGCTTCTGTGAAGAAATATTCATGTCTTTGATATATCCTCAGTATTTCCTATGTGATTTTTCTCTGCAGTCTTGATCCATCAGTCTGATTTTATTGCAAACTTTTGTGACGACAATTTTAAAATCTGCAATTTTAGTCATTTTCACAAAAGTTGTGAATGATCTCTTTGTTATTTGACGCTGTACATGGTCTAAGCTGCACATGTTCAAGCCAGTCACAGCATGAACCAGTTCAAGAAGACAACCAAATGGTACCTAATTAATGTAGTGACAGAAAGGGAGGAGAATGATTATTTTTTTTTTAGCTAACACACATGTAAATATAAATAACTCAATTTACGTTATTCCTAGTACATCTCCTTTATAGTATAATAAGGTATTAAAAGGACTCCAGTGTAAATAAGTCACTGACTTTTGTGGGATATCCCAGGATGTCTACACATATGCTGCTATGTATGATAATCTGTGTACCTATTTGTGTATACCTGGATAATCTTACTTATTAAGCGTCCAGTTACCTGTCTACTTGAAAGGACTGATACGAGTGTGTAGTTATTCTCTGACTAAATTTTAATACAGTGCTACTCTCAGAAGAGTACAATTAGTAATGCCGTAACTATAACAAATCACAATTAACCCACAATTCGGAGAGGAAGTTACCAGTGACGTTACGGTCTTAAATGGACATCATGATGGCTCGACACTCCTTTAAAAAAAAAATCCGAATACTACTTCCTTAGGTTGAGAATGGCAATGGATCTCGACTCTCTCGTCTACTTACCAACTTATGCATTATAAAACCCGTACGAGTTACTGCTTTTGCCATATACAAAAGTAGTTTAAATGATAAATGTGGCAAGTGTTAAATTAGGCAAGTTGGTAATATTTTTACCTTTCTTATTAAGCAACATATATATAACACCTGGACATGTCTACTATCAAATATTTTGGATAGTTGACATGTCCACTTGAGAGATGAAAGATTATTTCCATTGTAATGATTTTGATAATTTTGGTCACAAAGTCTTGTAATTTTTCCAATACATAAAATTAAGAGAAAGATTGATTAAATACATCGTAAATTATTCTTATATTCATGGTTTGCATACCTCTAGACTTCTTAATTATAATATTAGTGTCATAAATTAAAAAAAAGTAACATGCCAAACAGTACTTAAAACACCTTTAAGGTGACTATGTTTTATTCAAGTGGGAAGATCTACATTTTACTCCATTTAAAAAAAAAAAAACACAGAAGAACAAGACGTGCCCAGCATGGGTCACTCAACCTACTGCGGTCAACCATTGTTCTTATTTTCACTTTCATTCTTAAAATTTGTCGCAAATAAATGATAATGTGACAATATACGACTTTTTTCAGGGATCATAACATCATATTTATTGTTGTGAGCCATGAGGAGTGTGTGTATAATATATATATATATATATATATATATATATATATATATATATATATATATATATATATATATATATATATTTATATATATTTCAACAAGTTGGCCGTCTCCCACCGAGGCAGGGTGACCCAAAAAAGAAAGAAAATCCCCAAAAAGAAAATACTTTCATCATCATTCAACACTTTCACCATACATTATCACTGCTTTTGCAGAAGTGCTCAGAATACAACAGTTTAGAAGCATATACGTATAAAGATACACAACATATCCCTCCAAACTGCCAATATCCCAAACCCCTCCTTTAAAGTGCAGGCATTGTACTTCCCATTTCCAGGACTCAAGTCCGACTATATGAACATAACCGGTTTCCCTGAATCCCTTCACTAAATATTACCCTGCTCACACTCCAACAGATCGTCAGGTCCCAAGTATCATTCGCCTCCATTCACTCCTATCTAACACGCTCATGCACTCTTGCTGGAAGTCCAAGCCCCTAGCCCACAAAACCTCCTTTACCCCCTCTTTCCAACCCTTTCGAGGACGACCCCTACCCCTCCTTCCTTCCCCTATAGATTTATATGCTTTCCATGTCATTCTACTTTGATCCATTCTCTCTAAATGACCAAACCACCTCAACAACCCCTCTTCTGCCCTCTGACTAATGCTTTTATTAACTCCACACCTTCTCCTAATTTCCACACTCCGAATTTTCTGCATAATATTTACACCACACATTGCCCTTAGACAGGACATCTCCACTGCCTCCAACCGTCTCCTCGCTGCTGCATTTACCACCCAAGCTTCACATCCATATAAGAGTGTTGGTACTACTATACTTTCATACATTCCCTTCTTTGCCTCCATAGATAACGTTTTTTGACTCCACATATACCTCAACGCACCACTCACCTTTTTTCCCTCATCAATTCTATGATTAACCTCATCCTTCATAAATCCATCCGCCGACACGTCAACTCCCAAGTATCTGAAAACATTCACTTCTTCCATACTCCTCCCCAATTTGATATCCAATTTTTCTTTTTCTAAATCATTTGATACCCTCATCACCTTACTCTTTTCTATGTTCACTTTCAACTTTCTACCTTTACACACATTCTCAAACTCATCCATTAACCTTTGCAGTTTTTCTTTATTATTATTATAATCAAGGGGGAAGCGCTAAACCCGAAGGATTATACAGCGCAGTTTTTCTTTAGAATCTCCCATAAGCACAGTATCATCAGCAAAAAGTAACTGTGTCAATTCCCATTTTGAATTTGATTCCCCATAATTTAATCCCACCCCTCTCCCGAACACCCTAGCATTTACTTCTTTTACAACCCCATCTATAAATATATTAAACAACCATGGTGACATTACACATCCCTGTCTAAGACCTACTTTTACCCTAACCTGAGCCTCACTATCCTCATAAAAGCTCTTTACAGAATTTAGTAACTTACCACCTATTCCATATACTTGCAACATCTGCCACATTGCTCCTCTATCCACTCTATCATATGCCTTTTCTAAATCCATAAATGCAATAAAAACTTCCCTACCTTTATCTAAATACTGTTCACATATATGCTTCAATGTAAACTCTTGATCTACACATCCCCTACCCACTCTGAAGCCTCCCTGCTCATCCGCAATCCTACATTCTGTCTTACCTATAATTCTTTCAATTATAACCCTACCGTATACTTTTCCTGGTATACTCAGTAAACTTATTCCTCTATAATTTTTACAATCTCTTTTGTCCCCTTTCCCTTTATATAAAGGGACTATACATGCTCTCCGCCAATCCCTAGGTACCTTCCCCTCTTTCATACATTTATTAAACAAAAGTACCAACCACTCCAACACTATATCCCCCCCTGCTTTTAACATTTCTGTCATGATCCCATCAGTTCCAGCTGCTTTACCCACTTTCATTCTACGTAATGCCTCACGTATCTCCACCACACATTCTGCTCTTCTTCACTCCTAAAAGATGGTATACCTCCCTGGCCAGTGCATGAAATTACCGCCTCCCTTTCTTCCTCAACATTTAAAAGTTCCTCAAAATATTCTCGCCATCTACCTAATACCTCCCTCTCCCCATCTACTAACTCCCCTACTTTGTTTTTAACTGACAAATCCATACTTTCCCTAGGCTTTCTTAACTTGTTTAACTCACTCCAAAAATTTTTCTTATTTTCATTAAAATTTCTTGACAGTGCCTCTCCCACTCTTTCATCTGCTCTCCTTTTGCACTCTCTCACCACTCTCTTCACCTTTCTTTTACTCTCCATATACTCTGCTCTTCTTATAACACTTCTGCTTTGTAAAAACCTCTCGTAAGCTACCTTTTTCTCTTTTATCACACCCTTTACTTCATCATTCCACCAATCACTCCTCTTTTCCTCCTGCCCCCACCCTCCTATAACCACAAACTTCTGCCCCACATTCTAATACTGAATTTTTAAAAATATTCCAACCCTCTTCAACCCCCCCACTACTCATCTTTGCACTAGCCCACCTTTCTGCCAATAGTCGCTTATATCTCGCCCGAACTTCCTCCTCCCTTAGTTTATACACTTTCACCTCCCTCTTACTTGTTGTTGCCACCTTCCTCTTTTCCCCCTCTACCTCTTACTCTAACTGTAGCTACAACTAAATAATGATCAGTTGCCCCTCTATAAACATGTACATCCTGGAGCCTACCCATCAACCTTTTATCCACCAATACATAATCTAACAAACTACTTTCATTACGTGCTACATCATACCTTGTATATTTATTTATCCTCTTTTTCATAAAATATGTATTACTTATTACCAAATTTCTTTCTACACATAGCTCAATTAAAGGCTCCCCATTTACATTTACCCCTGGCATCCCAAATTTACCTACTACTCCCTCTATAACATTTTTACCCACTTTAGCATTGAAATCCCCAACCACCATTACTCTCACACTTGATTCAAAACTCCCCACGCATTCACTCAACATTTCCCAGAATCTCTCTCTCTCCTCTACACTTCTCTCTTCTCCAGGTGCATACACGCTTACTATAACCCACTTTTCACATCCAATCTTTATTTTTCTCCACATAATCCTTGCATTTATACATTTGTAGTCCCTCTTTTCCTGCCATAGCTTATCCTTCAACATTATTGCTACTCCTTCTTTAGCTCTAACTCTATTTGAAACCCCTGACCTAATCCCATTTATTCCTCTCCATTGAAACTCTCCCACCCCCTTCAGCTTTGTTTCACTTAAAGCCAGGACATCCAGTTTCTTCTCATTCATAACATCCACAATCATCTCTTTCTTATCATTTGCACAACATCCACGCACATTCAGACTTCCCACTTTGACAATTTTCTTCTTCTTATTCTTTTTAGTAATCTTTACAGGAAAAGGGGTTACTAGCCCATTGTTCCCGGCATTTTAGTTGACTTTTACAACACGCATGGCTTACGGAGGAAAGATTCTTATTCCACTTCCCCATGGATATAAAAGGAAAAGTAATAAGACCAAGAACTATTAAGATAAAATCAAAGAAAACTCGGATGAGTGTGTATAAATGAATGTGTACATGTATGTGAAGTGCGACCTAAGTGTAAGTAGAAGTAGCAAGACATGCCTGTAATCTTGCATATTTATGAGACAGACAAAAGACATCAGCAATCCTACCATCATGTAAAACAATTACAGGCTTTCGTTTTACACTCACTTGGCAGGACGGTTGTACCTCCCTGGGTGGTTGCTGTCTACCATATATATATATATATATATATATATATATATATATATATATATATATATATATATATATATATATATATATATATATATATATATATATAAACTTGCTTCAGGGAAAACTCAAGGTTCTCTCTGAAGCTGTTTGAGAATTTTCTCCTACCACCCCCTATATTTCAAGTATGTTTTATTTAAAGACAAAATACATTGACAAAACATTCACAAAAATACGATAGAAAGTAAAACAACATAGGTAACTCAGAGCTACATCTCGAATACTTCGTCCAGCTCCCCTGCAGTGGGCCGCATGCCCAGAATGCTGCAGGCATTTCCTCTCTGGATCGCAACACTGAGTCTCTGAAAGAGGAAGCTGGTCGCCCTGTGGTCCTTGGTTTCTATGATGAGCTTTTCACCCAGCTCTTTGAGGAACTTTAGAGCACACTTGCCCCATGCTCCAAGGGTCTCCGACCCTATTGGAATGAAGTTATAGCAAGGGGGAAGGTCTTCATATTTTCGGATCTTCTGGGTCTCCCTGTGGCTGGCAGCTCCACCCCCTTCCACTACGGAGTGGAAGCAAGTAGGTGTCTGCCAATGTGGCAGCACAGGTGTAGTCCCAGGCAATCTGCTTTCCATCCTTCCAGGGTAGCACAGTGGCTCCATCAGGACGCTTTTGACTTCCATCAGACCTCTGTACTTGGGGTTCCCGTTGAGCTGGGCAACGGGCTGTGGCGAGGCTTCTCTTTATGATGTCATTGACCTCCTCATGTCTGACATACTTCCCTTCTGCTGTGTGACACACGAGACCATGAAGTCCTAATTGATCAGCTGTCGCCCTGCCGCAAATACACCTATGTTCGGTGAGGATGGGGGCGGCTAGGCGAAGAGCAACACCAATCCTAATGGCCTGTGGGTCGAGACGGGTGCCCAGGGAGGAATTGGGAACAGCTAACAGGAAATCTCCTAAGTGTGGTGCCTTCACTGCCAGGAGACGAGCTTTGTCCTTTCCTGAAGCATTGGAGAACACTGTGTTGACGATTTTTTCCATGATCGGTTTGTCCCAGTGGGACTGTTTGTGCTGTTTGGGAGGAGCTGGTCTACTGGAGGAGTCTGTAAGGGTGTCCCACCGAATCGCTGCTTCAGTAAACCTGGGGTCTTGAGCTCCTACCACGTCTCTCAAGCGTTTGGGTACTATCTTCTTGACTAATGCACTGGAAGCCAAACACGAAGACAGAAAAGCAGGTAAAGCAACATGCGTTGCTTTACGCACCCCTATACCTCCCAGTCGCACTGGGAGGGTTGCCTGATCCCATTGCTCATCCTCTAGTGACAGGTTCAGTGCCTTCTTAAAAGTTGATCTCAGGTGTGCGTCAAATTCATCGAGTGTTGGGTTGTCAAAAGAGGGTGCACACCTCAAGAAGTGAGTGAGTCTTGGCATAGTAAGACACCTTGTGAGGAGATACAGAGCATCATGGGCATCAAGATCGCTTATTCTCTCCTCCATTCTCATCAGGTCATTCAATTTGTCCCTGAGGACAGTGTCGATGGCCTGGTGACCCAGCGGTGCCCACAAGAGATTCACATACTCATTAGATCCAGCCTTACCGGATCTTTTTTTTCTCTTTAGAAATTATTCTTGATACAAGTATGGAGGTGACTTTCAGCCTGACGCTCGTCAAGTGAACAAGTTTAAGACTAGCAAATTTATTTTAATATCTTGGCGTTGGAAACAGACATTTTATGAACCTGTAGCGTGTTTTTTTTTTTGTTATATATAAATTTGCTAGTTCTTACTTCAAGACACTCACGTATAATATTTTCTCACCCATTTCTTTTTGTATAAATAAACATTTTATAAATTTTATAAGCGTTTATTGCCTTGCAATGTTTCATATATATCGTAATCTTTTTCGGTCTGATGACAAATAAAGGTTTACTCTGTTTCCACACTGATTTTTAAACATCTTTCTCAAAAAATACATCTTTGAAACTGAATTTATTTTATTAAGGTGTAAAACCCATGTCCTGTAGACCAGCTGAGGCTTAACCACTTCCTGGGTTATCAACTTACATTGTCCTGTTCCAGGAGACATTTGTCTTGTTTCCTCACGAACTAAACACCATCTTTAAACGCCACCTTACGTAGGCATCACGTGACCTCACGAAACTTGAAGCCATCACTGGCCAAGTTTTGCTTGAAGGTGACGTTGTACCAGTTGGTGTTGATGTAAAGTACCTCCCCGGCCGTCTCGTATCTGGATCCATCTTCGTCGTAGAGGGTGTAGTTTTCCTGGACGTTGTCCCAGTACAACGCCCTGCGGAACCCTCGAGCCTGCAACACACAACAACGTAATAATAAGTTATAAACGCCACAGTGAGGTAGCTGGAGTAATTCACAGCTTATCCACACACTGGAAATAAAGAACGATCGGCTCTTCGGTCCGTTCTGGTAATGGTCCAGCACAGATCGAAACCTCGTCTGGTTTTGATTTCCACTTCATGGGTTAGCTCTGAATGATCAGATATCATCGAAGTTTTTTATGTATCGAACAGGAGGGAAAATTTTGAATACTGAACTGTTCTTGAAGATAACCAGTAACACTAGTAAGATAACATCAATGTTCCTAACAGTAAATAGATATCTGGCAGTTAGTAGACTGTTGTGGTAGGCATCCTGGGGGGAGAGGACATAAAAAATATGATCCACACAGAAATAAAACACACTACTTGACTCTCTGGTTATCCTGAGTTATGAATCATCCAGGGCTACTAATCACAATAAAATCTTTATCATCATGCTGCAAGAAAGACACAGGAAGTGTTTCGACACAGAAATAAGTTAATGGAAGTACTTGGAGGAGCGCTTAGCTGAGAGAGAAAAGCTTTGTTTCACTGTTAAGTGATGGAGGATCGAGTCTCCTTAACTATGCGCTGAATGACCCATACGGGTTTAGCACTTTACATCTACATACTTCATTAATAATCCCCATCTTTTATTCTGGGAAGTCTAAAAATTTGAACAGAGGGAACCTGCACATGCCAATAGATTTGTGAACCTTTCCCGAGTTATAGTAAACCAGAGTGGAAACTCTGAAGCCGATCGGATGAGGCGTTGTGTAGTTCATCTATGACAGCATCAAGTCCATGAACATTATATGCATACCATGGCGACATTATATCAGATAATTCAACGAAGAAAAAAAGAATTATCAATTTCCTAATTAGACTCAAAACACATGGATTGCTCTGTCTGGATAATATGAACCAATACAGAAAACTGAAGACATTTCGATCTTGGGACTTTGATCACGCTACGTATTTGAAATAATAAATTTCCTAGAACCGTAACGCTTCCCATAAAGGCGTCCTAATTGAGTGCATTTGTCGGCATCTGTTACCTTCTTACTATTGAAGTAAAGACGAGCGAGCCTCATACTGACCTCTATCATCCTGAGCAGGTCGTACCTCTCCTGCAGCGCCTGCAGCCACTTCTCCCGAGGAACTGACGGTGGAGAGTGTCTAGTGGGCCCCTTCACCAGCCCCACAGCATGCACCTCCAGCGCCACCTGCATCATGTTTTAATTACATGAAGGAAAAAAATATTGCGGTTGGAACAATACATAAATGACCAGTACTTAGTCACAAGTTCTTGTAAATGAACCATTTACAAGACTTGTAAATGGTTCAAGTCGGACCGAAATGGCCTGAAGTTTCAGTTTCTTAAGTGCGAAGTATTTATGTATAGTTACGAGCGGCTAAACTCGTACGGGTCATTTTTGCAGGCTCAATCCTCAGTCTACTAAGTTTTGAGATAGGTGTGTTAGGTTGGGTTAGTCTAGATTAGTATTATATTCATGGGTGAACATTAAACTGGAACAAGAGCCCTTCACCAGCATCAAGGCACGCACCTTGATAGGACAGTTACCTTGAGAAAAGTAAGAGGAAAGTGCCACTAGGCCTACTGCAGCGCTTTTTTATATTTAGTATTATTTTACACTAAAACAGGCTGGGTGCTGAAATAAGAATGTACCAGCTTCTTTCACGTACATTGTCAAATCTCATTTCATGGACAGGTAGTGTATACCTACCTGTTGCATACCTGCTGTAGATTCCGGGGATTTATCGCCCCTGGGCCCAGAGGCAGGAAGAGAGATAATGAACGCAGTAGACAGAGCAAGAGAGACTATGCAAGATGACCCACCTGACCGACAGCATCAAAGAGCGGGTCCTGAACGATGTCTCTGAAGGATTCCCACTCATCGTTCTCGATGTCCACCTGTGGGAGATGGTCCTTAGTCCTGTGGAAGGTTTTCCCGAGGGACTTTGCGGAAAGTGGGTTCTTGTGAGGATGTGTATACATAGCGGATCATAATGATTATGTATATGGGCAGTGTGTTATGATGTGTATTATTACTGGATTACCACGAGAGTGTGTATGGGCAGTTGGTTATCATGATCATGTGAATGGATAATGGGTTATTATAATGTATATTATTAATAGGCCATGAAGATGTGTATGGATTGTGGCTTATCATTAAGGTGTATATTTATAGTGGGTTATGGTGGGTTATGAGGATGTGTATAGCAGTGAATTGCCTTCAAAATGCTCGGTCTTGCATTACCTTGAGAATGTGTATGGGTCTTGGGAACAGATGGTGCTTGAGGTAGTGTCCCCTGAGGGTATCCACAGAAACTGTTTTGTTGAGGTTGTCGTAAAAGATGAGGTGACGTAGCCTAGCGAGTCCTTCCTGCAGGGTGACACACACAACAACACTTCAGTACTACTTTCAGGAACAAAGCATTAAATATATCACAACTGCAAACAAACACTATTTTAACAGTGCTTGGAAAATGGAAGACAAACAGATTTAATAAGAAGAAATGGAGGGAAGCTTCAGTTGGTTGATAAACAGTCCTTCACTGGCATTAAGGCACTCCTTGAAGATTGCTTTGTATTGTAGTATATATTCAAATTAAGCACTTTTCTAATGAAAATTCACTTTAAAAATGTAAACTAAATCTTGAGATACAAGTATTCTTTGGCCTCACACTGTCTCAAACCAAATACGTTCATTTTATAATCTACGTGTACAGTGTAAATGCTAGTTAAGATACAGAGTTGACTTACAACGTGGAAATAGATTCCGTTTTCTAGGGCCAGCGGCGGCTTGAAGTCGAACACGTCGAACATGTGTACTTCGCAGGAGAGGTCAGCTACATCCTCATCGAAGGAAGTGTCATGCTGGATGCCAAAAGATAACGCGAGGCAACTACGAGCGTCCTTGGCTCCGACAACCTCCAGTGGTGGGTCCATACACACGTACTGTGGTGGAACACGTTAATAGTAAAGTCTGAAAGAATTCTTTTCAATAGACTTGAATTCTGTGGCTCTGTCTTGAACACCCTTTCATAGCTATTTCACTGCACTTGTTCTGAATACAAAATAAAACTTCAAAATTTGCAAGATCTCAGCAAATGCAATGGTGTTTTCCGCACTCAGTGAGTTCATGGTTACCTTTTGGCCATCCATATTCTTTCCGTCTTCTTGCCCCTTCTTACATGCATATGTTCCGCCCATCCTCTTCAGCTTTCGACAGGAAGTCTGTGGCGTTTGCAGGTACCTGAAGTAATCACCAATATTTTTCAGTTCAGGTCTCCAATCAGTCCAGTTGCTTGTATCTTGCTTCAAATGTAGAGTCGATTGCGGTGAGTACCTACAAAACACGAGAAAACAAAATGAAGCATTGATGGTCTTATCTAATACTAGGCAGGTCCAACTCGTACCCCCCCCCCAAAAAAAAATAATGCTTTTAAATACGTCATTACACTCTTATACCTTCTCAAAGTATTTGGTTTAATGACAATGCTCGATAGTTTACTTCACGCATCTTCAGCGCTGTTGTCCAACAAGTGTTTTCCGACATCCCTTCCAAATCTGGAAGAATCCAAGTTGACTCCGCTGTCGGATGTTTAAGAAAGAATGTTTGTTTTTCATGAGAAACTAAACTGAGTGGTATATGCTAGATATTTCATCAATTAATTGCGGCGCAAACTCTGAACAGTCAGACAATTGGTGATCGCCTTTGACCCTGATAGAAGGAAAGTAAGATACAGTAAATAAGCATTTACCTGTGCATATAGTAGAGGGGTCCGCGAGGTGGGTTGGAGGAATGCAGAAACACCTGAAGGGGCGCCTTCAGTGAAAAGGTTTCCACTAGCATGTTGCCTGCAGTCAGCGTCTCCTCTATTACTGGAAATACCAAGCGAGTCTCTGGCAACTGGAGAAACTCAGCACTTTGGTGAGATAGGTTACGGGTATCCCAGAGACCCAGCACTAGCAAGATCATACATACTGCCATGACCCACAGCCTCGCAGTTCGTCTGCTGCTCCTTCCCAGGTAATACTCCCCCATGATGCTATCTGGAAGACAAAAATATCTAAGTATCTTTGTATTATAAGTGTCTGTTCATTACCCTACCATGATGTTGCCTCGACATAACTAAGGGTGAAACATGTTAGAGTAACTAATCCTCAAAAAATATTTTTGTTCGTCACTTAGCAGTTAAAATTTGTTATCGATGTTTAGTCGCTTAACTTCCTTTCTATTTGTCCTATGAATGATTAAAACTTCGTTACTTTCCGAGTTCGGGAGTCTGTATAAAGTATATAAAAACTTTTTCGGGACAGATTCCGTTTGTTCCTTTGGCTTTCCTCTTTATTTTCATGCAGCAATGCCAATTCTTTTTGCAGGGAATTCCATGTACACCGAGTACATCCCTTTCAATTAACACAAATCATTTAATAGGTAATGATGAAAAAAGTATTTAATCCAGGATAATCCGAGTATCACGGTGGTTTATTTCTACTGGGGTTCTCCCCCGTGAATGTCAAAGTAACCTATTAACACTCGGGTACCTATTTACTACTAGGTGAATTAGGTGAACTACATGAAGTAGGTGAACATGGAATCATACCCGGATCTTTTTATCTTGTGAACCGAACTATCTACCTCTTAGTATATGATATACTTTCTGTTAGGCACTTGGTCACTGACGGTAATTATTCACCGACTTACTTGTGTCACGTAGTGTGGTGAAAGGCAATGGTGAAGACAGTGAAAATGTACTGCCTAAAGCGGACAGGGGGTGGTAGTAGCGGTATTAGTGGTGGCAGTTGTGGTATTAGTGGTCCTGGTGCTGGTATTAACAGTCTTGGTGGTGGTAGTAGCAGTCCTGGTGGTGGTAGTAGTGGTATTAGGGATCTTGGCGGTTGTTTAAGAGGCACTGGAAGAGGTAGTAGTTGTATTAACGTTGTTGGAGATGTTTTTTTAGTCATTAATGTTATCGTTAGTAGCGGAAGTATGAGCGGCACTGGTGGTGGTGGTGGTGATCGTAGCAGTGGTTGCTGGCGGGGGTAGAAAGTACTAACAGTGGCGCCAACGTTGCTGGTAGTGGTACCGGCGTTCCGGGTCGAACAAAATAACTTACTGCTGCTTCCCAGGAATCAGCACCACCCATCACCAGAACCCCAGAGGCTGGCGGAGACGTGGCATCACATCTTATCCTGGTGTGGGAAGCTTCTACCTCTCTGACATCACTTGTCTAGCTCACCGACTTAATTTATATTCATAGTAATGTTTTACGATCTGGCTTTAGTTTTGTGTATATATACAGTGCTTTATTATTTTATTTTATACACGGCACAAAAACCCACTATGAAAAATGCCTGGAGCCTCTTGAGGTAAAACGCTTGCAATTTTTTACCCGCTTGGTTTCTAAACTTAGCACTGAAGGATCCATGGCGATTTCCAAAGCGGTTTTTTCTAACATTCTTTTTTTCATTTCTGGTGAGTTATAAGGGTGTCCCGACCCGTAGCTAAGTTTGTAGCGCACTCAGCTCACACTGAGGTTTATGGTTCGATCCTCGGTACGGGTGGGCGTATTTCCTCAAGACACCTGTCCCTGTTCACCTAGCAGTAAATAGGCACCTGGATGTTAGCCGACAGCTGTGGGTCGCATCCTGTGGACAAAATTAACCTAATTTGCCCGTAATGCTCTACATAACCAGGGGCTTTCTATACAGTATGTCACTAATGTCATCTAAGTCTGTATAAGTTGTATTACGTACTTGTAGAAATAAAGATTATTATTATTAATACGTATTAATGGCGATAGGAAGTGCAACCAGCGGCGCTGCAGGAAACACAAACGTATCTAGAGGATATTACAAATATTTCTTTACAATACTGATAACACAAAAGTATGTATAGGACCGAAGAAGCCACGAAACATTTTCTTTAATAAATGTCCTGAACGATAAAGTGTAGAAATGTCAGCAAAAAGTAAACAGCCACAGTTGCATACCTGTGATGGGTTTCCAGGGTTCTTGTTCCCTCGCTGACTGCCTAGTCAACCAGGCTGTTGTTCCTAGTGGTCCTCAGGCCTACAGGGTTGCCATAACCTGGCTTACCTGGCTTCTGTAGAGAGTAGTGTCCCAGCTACAAAGAATATAACAAGCTCAGCATTATGAGCTCAGCAGCTACAAATGTAATCTGGGGCACAGCTTTTACGTTCAACAAGTTCAGTATTGGACGATCACTACTGCATGTTGAACTTGCTGTTGAACTGCATGGAACAGCATTAAGTGCTTAATACAATGAAAGTTTTATGACAGGTACTGAAGCTGCCTTCTTCTCGAATTAAACTTTTTTTTTTCTGCCGCTTGATGACTCTTACGGGTATAGCGCTTCCCCCTTCCTGCAACTACCGCCATGGTAATGTATTGCACTCTTCTAAGGCTGTATATAAAAAAAACAAAGATTTCTGGCTGCATGTGGTGGGTGCTACAAAGCACCGTGTTGATTGTTACTACAAGTCTTTTATAGCAGCTAAAGATGATCTTGGACTAAGATCGAAATATAAAACTCTCGCTCCCTTTTTTAATTCCTGTCTGCTGATGCACTTCATTACTTTAACTCAGCTTAATTACTAAGACATCTGCATTATCCTTACTGAAGTCTACAACAGAAAGCCAATACAGATAATTAGTAGGTGTTATTGTCATTATAACTTAGCTACCGACTACACAAGGGCCAGCCAAGCTGTACGTAGCTTGTAAACTACTAGTCAAGGATACTGAAACCTTAAATATGTTTATTTAAACCGGTTGCCTCTGTTTACCCAGAGGTAGGTAGGTACCTGAGTACTAGCTGAATGCTGTGGGTGGCATCCTGGGGAAGATCACAAGACCCCCCCCCCCCAATGGAAATACGTATCCTTCCTAGAGTATCCTGGGTTAATTAATAATCCAAATAAAACAATCTCCCAGAGAAATAAATCAGCGTTGGACTCTACTGGACGATCCCAGTTTAAAATTTCCACACATAACTCACTGTTCTTAATACCAGTAACATATGTATGTCATGAAAACTGTTATAAAAGCAAATGTATGTTACAAAGGCAAAACTTACTCAATTTGGTTCCTTGTGACAGAGCTGTGATGATCCGTACAAGTTTACCCCATCAACAAAGTATCTGGGGAAAGAAAATGTGAACCAGTCTCGACCACAACAGTAATACATAAACACCAGAACTACAATGTTACACCATGGACGTAGACACAATAGCTGTATTGATCACTTTATAATGATGTTTCCCTGACGTGGGAGCTCTATAAAGCTGATAGAGAACACAGATAACTGAATTTTCGTGTGACACGGTGGAACAGTGATCAGTTCACGTTGTAGGGGATCCCAAGTCGAATCTTGAATGGGATAAGACGTATGGGCAAGTCTTCTAGTAAGTAGCTGTATAGCCCTTGTGGCTTAGCGCTTCTTTTTGATTATAATAATAATAATAATAATTCTAGTAAGTAAGTTTACTCAGGTATACACAAATACAGTTACATAGAATTATCATACATAGCAGCATATGTGTAGAGAGCCTGGGATAACCCAAAAAAAGTCAGAGTGACTTATTTCCATTGGGGTCCTTTGCTGCCCCTGTGGATTGTTGTGCAGCGCTGTATAGTCCTTGTGGCTTAGCGCTTCTTTTTTGATTATAATAATAATGTGGATTGTTGTGGGTAGCATCCTGGGGAAGGGTCTAAAAATGATCCTAGTGAATAAGCCACACTGGCTTTGCTAGGTTAGGCTACTAACTCTCCGGGGTTAAGATATTTGATAAAGCCCAGCGACCGACAGGTAGTTATTGCAAAGCATATTATACAGCTATAGTGTCTTATTGATCATTCACATAAACACTAACAAACACACCATCACCAACTAACAAATTTTAACAAGCCTAGTGCGGTCGTATACCTATATACCTAAACAGCCAGGTCAATCCCACCTATACCTGGAGGGTATTCCGAGGGGTCAGCGCCCCCGCGGTCAGATCCATGACCAGTCCTCGCGGTCATGGACCTGGCCGCGGTCAGCAGTATCAACCTGATCAATCAGGTTGTTATTGTTAGGTAAGACACATATGCAACAGTTAGGTATCTTTATTTCGAAACGTTTCGCCTACACGGTAGGCTTCTTCAGTCGAGTACAGAAAAGTTGATAGAAGCAGAAGAGACTTGAAGACGATGTAATCAGTCCATCACCCTTAAAGTTTTGAGGTGGTCAGTCCCTCAGTCTGGAGAAGAGCATTGTTCCAAAGTTTGAAACTACTGTGTTCATCGCTCCCTTGCTTTCCATCGTAGGTATGTTACACTGTCTGCCAAACCTCACTGTTGCTGCAGGTTACCTGCACTGTATGCTATATATTAACCTCTTTTAGCTTACTTTGTGTTAGGACTGAAGAAGCCACTCGTTGCGAAACGTTTCCTTTAATAAATGTTCTGAACTATATTCAAATGTCCTTTCCCACAATTTGTCGGTATCAATATACCATTTACAACCATTTTCTGCTAAAGATCTTATGTCTATCGTAGTGATTTTATTTCTACAAGTACATGTACAAGGTATATATGCCTAGTTGACATCAGTGACATATTATATGGAAAGCAGCTTATGCTGAGCACCACACCAGTCCACTAACACCCAGGTACCCATTTTATACTGATGGGTGAACATAGACACTGGTGTAAGGAAACACGCCAAATATTTCAACCCTCGCCGGGAATGTTATGACTGGCTTGGCATCTCTTGTTTTGAAAGCTTTAGCTATCCAACCAGTCGTTACCCGTCCTGTTGCGATAACGACTCTTAAAGAAAATAAAAGAAACTTTTCATTATACGCACTTTATTATACAGACCAAACATGTCATCACTCAGTGATGACATGCTTGACATGACACGTTCCTATGCAGGATACTTTCTTACCTATATACTTACTCCACTGACATGGCAACTCTAGAGGTGCAGGCAGAGTTTAAGTTTTCTGGGTTCTTTATATAAGATTTTTTAATTAGGAGGAGAAGCAGTAGCAGCAGCAGCAGCAGTAGTAGTAGTAGTAGTAGTAGTAGTAGTAGTAGTACTAGTAGTAATAGTAGCATCAGTTGTGTGGTAGGGGAGCAGATTGTTGAGGAAGTCGAGAAGTTCGCCACTTTCATTGATTTTCTTGGCAATCATGCCTAGGATCTCTGATCCGTGTTCGGTGAAGAACTCATTGAAGAGTGTGCCAATGTCTGTCCCTGGCATCATGCCTTCGAAGTTTACCTGCAGAGGGAAAACACTAGCGTTACTACCTGTGTGTCACACATACATACACACACACACACACACACACACACACACACACACAAAACAAGTATGCACAGATAAGGAGTACGAAAACATAGCATCGAAAGTCAAGTCTGACCCGAAACTGCTGTTTAGCCACATTAGGAGGAAGACAACAGTCAAAGACTAGGTAATCAGGCTGAGAAAAGAAGGTGGGGAGCTCACAAGAAACGATCAAGAGGTATGTGAGGAGCTCAACAGGAGATTTAAGGAAGTATTTACAGTAGAGACAGGAAGGACTCTGGGAAGACAAAAGAGAGAGGGGACACCAACAAGGGATATACAAACAAGTGTTGGATGAAATACAACTGACGAGGAGGTGAAGAAGCTGCTAAGTAGCCTTGCTACCTCAAAGGCGGTGTAACCAGTAGCCTTGCAACCTCAAAGGCGGTGGGACCAGTAGCCTTGCTACCTCAAAGGCGGTGGGACCAGTAGCCTTGCTACCTCAAAGGCGGTGGGACCAGTAGCCTTGCTACCTCAAAGGCGGTGGGACCAGTAGCCTTGCTACCTCAAAGGCGGTGGGACCGGACATCTCTCCGTGGGACCTTAGAGAACGAGCTGAGACGCTGTGTGCACTAACCACAATTTTCAAAATCCCTTGAAACTGGGCAACTGCCTTAGGCATGGAAGACGGCAAATGTAGTCCCCATTTTTAAGAGAGGAGACAGAAACGAGGCACGGAACTATAGACCAGTGTCACTGACGTGTATAGTATGCAAAGTCATGGAGAAGATTATCAGGAGAAGAGTGATGGAGCACCTGGAACGGAACAAGAGTGTAAATGACAACCAGCATGGATTCATGTAAGGCAAATCCTGTGTCACAAACCTTCTGGAGTTTTATGACAAAGTAACAGAAGTAAGACACGAGAGAGAGAGGTGGGGTGATTGCATTTTCTTGGACTGCAAGAAGGCCTTCGACAGTTCCTCACAAGAGATTAGTGCAAAAGCTAGAGGATCAGGCGCGTATAACAGGAAGGGCGCTGCATTGGATCAAAGATTACCTGACAGGAAGGCAACAACGTGCCATGGTACGTGATGAGGTATCACAATGGGCGCCTGAGACGAGCGGGGTCCCACAGGGGTCAGTCCTAGGACCAGTGCTATTTTTGGTATAAGTGAATAACATGATGGAAGGGATAGACTCAGAAGTGTCCCTGTTCGCAGATGATGTGAAGTTAATGAGGAGAATTAAATCAGATGAGGATCAGGCAGGACTACAAAGAGAACTGGACAGGCTACAAGCCTGGTCCAGCAACTAGCTCCTCGAATTTAGCCCCGCCAAATGCAAAGTCATGAAGATCGGGGAAAAAAAGACCGCAGGCAGAGTATAGGCTAGGTGACCAAAGACTGCAAACCTCGCTCAAGGAGAAAGATCTTGTGACGAGTAATGTTGAGCACGTCTCCGGAAGCACACATCAACCAGATAACTGCTGTAGCATATGGGCGCCTGGCAAATCTGAGAATAGCGTTCCGATACCTTAGTAAAGAATCGTTCAAGAGACTGTACACCGTGTACGTGAGGCCATACTTGAGTATGCAGCACCAGTTTGGAACCCACACTTGATCAAGCACGTCAAGAAATTAGAGAAAGTGCAAAGGTTTGCAACAAGGCTAGTTCCAGGGCTAAGGGAATGTCCTACGAAGAAAGGTTGAGGGAAATCGGCCTGGCGACAATGGAGGACAGGAGGGTTAGGGGAGACATGATAAAGACATACAAAATACTGCGTGGAATAGATAAGGTGGACAGAGACAGAATGTTCCAGAGATGGGACACAGAAACAAGGGGTCACAATTGGAAGTTGAAGACTCAGACGAGTCAAAGGGATGTTAGGAAGTATTTCTTCAGTCACAGAGTCGTCAGGAAGTGGAATAGTCTAGCAAGTGATGTATGGAGGCAGGAACCATACATAGCTTTAAGACGAGGTATGATAAAGCTCATGGAGCAGGAAGAGGACCTAGTAGCGATCAGTGAAGAGGCGGGGCCAGGAGCTGAGTTTCGACCCCTGCAACCACAATTAGGCGAGTACACCCACACTCACTTGCCGATGCTTGATATGACTCGTATTTACAGAAGTTCTGAGACTAGGTTGAGTGCTTACCGTCCAACTGCTCATTTTCAAGTCAAGAGTTGCATATTCAAACTGCATATATATAGGATTTAGTGTATGTATGGTGCCTTTCCCCGTTACACTGATGTCGAGGTCCTCGGCGACGATCCTGGTGGAAAGAAACCCGTACAGTACATAATGATAAGTATATTACGAAGCATTATTATTATTATTATTATTATTATTATTATTATTATTATTATTATTATTATTATTATTATTTACTTATTATTCTTTTGGTACTCTAATTTGTGAATTTTATTTTGTCAATTTAAATCGTTATACTCTTGATCTTGTCAACAACATATACCAGACCCTAGTGCAATTGCAAGTACCATTTCAATTTGTATTTTTATATTATAAATTTATATTGTAAGTCCTACTCTAATATTGTTTTCATATCTTAGTGACTATATTGTGTGTGCAATTAGTGTATATTTCAATTATATTATTGTTCAAGGCCCTTAACTATCTTTTGCTAACTAGTACCAACTACCTCATATATTTTTCTTTTCTACTTTCTTTTTTTTTCTTATTCTTGCTACCTTAACTTGTATATTTTATCTTGTCAATTTAAATTTAGTTATACTCTAATTCTTGTAAACAACTTATATAAGACCTTAGTGCAATTACAACTGGAGTCTTGTGCCTTTTTTATATTATTAGATTAAACTCAGTTGTACTATAGCTCATTCTAGCTCAATACATAGTCAGTACCAAAGTCATTATATTAGACCTTAGTGCAATTACAACTGAGAGTCTTGTGCAATTTTTAATTTGTATTTTTATATTATTAGTTTATACCTAGTTGTACTTTAGCTCATTCCAGCACAACACATAGACAACACCAACTTCATTATGTGTATTAGTGACTATACTCTACATGACCAAAATGCTATAGCTATATACTTGTCCAAACTTCCCACCACTACAGATATCAGTACTAAAACTCAACACACAACTCAGGATATAAATAACCATAATTTAAACCTAGAAGATGATTGATCACGTTGACCCTGATCTAAACCTCCATAATCTGACACACAACCAAAACCTATTGGAAAGTAACTGCCTTTATTACACAGCATCACAAGCCACCACTATCCTAAACAATGCTAAAAGTCTATCAGTACTTAACTACAACATCAGGTCCTTAAGCAAACACTATGATGACCTCCTGGCACTCCTTGAATCACTAAAGACACCCTTCTCCTGCATTATTCTTACTGAGACCTGGCTTAAGCAGGACACAATAGATATCTACCCTCTACCAGGATACACAGCAATCCACAACTGCAGACCATTCCAAGTTGGGGGTGGTATTGCAATATATTACTCTAACCAGTTATCTTGTATTAGCACCACTTGCTTTAGTGATGAATATGGAGAATACATTTTTGCTAATTTTACTGTAAAAAACCTTAAGACGCCTATAACAATCGGTGCCATTTACCGGATACCCCACACAAGCATCCCAAATTTCAGTGAGAAATTAAAGTCACTAATAACAAACAGACAAATGAATAAGCACCACCTTCTCTTAGCTGGAGACTTCAACATCAACCCTGGCATACTAGATGATCAGCCTGTAAATGATTTCATCAACAATATGAACAACACACTTCTCATACCAACAATAACTAAACCAACTAGGCTCACTGAAACAAGTGCAACCATAATAGACCACATATGGACCAATATACTAGCCCCCCTTAAATCAGGGATAATCACAGATAGCACTACAGACCACTACCCTACCTTCCTCTTGACAAACATTAGTAAACCACCACTTGAATACAACAAAGTTTCATTTAGACTCCATGATGAGGCCTCAATAAGGAAGTTCACAGCTGACCTAGAGACTGTTGACTGGCCTACAGAATTCTCCAAGGCCAATGGTATTGATGACTGGACAGACATTTTTCTTAACAAATTACTTAGACTATACAACAAACATTGTCCTATAAAAACGAAACAGATCACAAACAAACGGCTTGGTTGCCCGTGGCTAACCAGCACCATTCTGAAATTCATTGATAAGAAACACCAATATGAAAAGCAATATAGACAGGGCCTAATACACAAAGATATTCTTAAACACTATTCATCAGTCCTCACCAAAGTAATAAAGAAAGCCAAACAACTATACTACTCCAGTAGATTCACTGACACAAGAGGAGATATAAAAAAGACCTGGAAAACACTCTCTCAGATTCTAGGGACCCACAAACTGAAAAAAACCAAGAATATTGTCCTAACTAAACCTAATGAAACACCACTGCATCCCACTGACACAGCTAACAAGATAAACGACTTCTTCTCAACCATAGGTTCTAATCTCGCCAATAAAATCCCACGTACCAATACCCATGCTGGGGACTACTTAGATGGGAATTTCCCAAATTCCTTCTATCTTGCTCCATCTGAGCCCACGGAAGTCACCGAGATTATAAAGTCACTTAAAAATAACTCAGGGAATCTGTCTCATGTCCCACCATTATTGTACAAGAGAGCGGCCCATGTCCTCTCGCATGCTATCTCATTACTTTTTAACAAGTCACTAGAAACTAGCACCTTCCCGAAACTACTCAAGACGGCAAGGGTTACACCAATACATAAAGGTGGTGACCCTACAGATTTAAACAACTATAGGCCAATATCAAACTTACCATTGCTATCCAAAATCTTTGATAAACTCGTGCACAGGAGACTATATTCATTTATAACGGCACAAAACATACTCAACCCCTGCCAATTTGGATTCAGGAAAAATAAAAGCACTAACGATGCAATCATAAAAATGCTAGATCTGCTTTACACAGCATTGGAAAATAAGGAATATCCACTAGGAATTTTTATTGACCTAAGAAACGCTTTTGACACAGTAGACCACGGCATCCTACTCCACAAACTTGACCATTATGGTATAAGAGGCCATGCGCTTGCATATTTCAAATCTTACCTTACTAATAGGTATCAGTATGTCACCATTAAAGACACATCAACAACACAGCCACTTCATACTGGAGTTCCGCAGGGAAGTGTCCTTGGTCCCCTGCTCTTCCTCATATACATCAATGATCTCCCAAACGTATCTCAACACCTGAACCCCATTCTCTTTGCTGACGACACGACTTATGCCATCTCTCACCCTAATCTTGCCACCCTCAACACCATTGTTAATGAGGAGCTGATCAAAATATCGACTTGGATGACAGCCAATAAACTTACGCTTAACACTGACAAAACCTACTACATTATGTTTGGTAGCAGAGCAGGAGATGCTCAAATTAACATTAAGATCGACAACACTCTAATTACCAGGCATAATGAGGGCAAATTCCTAGGCCTATACCTCGACAACAACCTGAACTTCAGCACCCATATCCAACACATAACCAAAAAAGTATCCAAAACGGTTGGGATCCTCTCCAAGATACGATACTACGTGCCGCAAACTGCCCTTCTCACACTATACCATTCACTTATATATCCATACCTCACCTATGCTATCTGTGCTTGGGTTCAACTGCAGCAACACACCTAAAGCCAATAATAACCCAACAAAAAGCCGCAGTAAGAATAATCACTAAATCCCATCCCTGGCAACACACCCCCCCACTCTTCATAGATCTAAACTTACTCCCTGTTCAGTACATCCACACTTACTACTGTGCAATCTACATCTACAGGACCTTAAATTCCAATATTAACCTTGACCTAAAACGCTTTCTTGATAGTTGTGACAGAACCCACAGGCACAAAACTAGATACAAACATCTCTATGACATTCCCCGTGTCCGACTAAACCTTTACAAAAATTCAATGTATGTCAAAGGCCCTAAAATCTGGAACACCCTACCTGAAAATTCTAAAACTGCAGACACATTCATCACCTTCAAAACTACCGTCAGAAAACATCTTATCTCCCTGATACACCCTGTCAACTAATTACACGAATACCACCTGGTGGTTAACACTTACACTCACCCATTTGACCATAAACAGAAATATCAATCTCAATCTCAAAATAATGAATCTTAACTAGTCATAAATTGGCCTGTGATACTCCAATACTGAAACTATATATAGTGCCAAAACAAAAGCATTCACATTGCTAAACTCACAAACTAGTATTTAGTCACTTAGCCATAATACCAACTTACCTCATAATTTTGTAATATTTTAAACTTAAGATTTAATTTAAGTCTGCCCGAAATGCCTAGCCATGCTAGGTGTTCTAGTGGTACACTGTAATTATTATTTTACTACATGTAAACCACACAATAACCAAATTCTGTAAACTCAGCATTGTAATCCTTATAGAGAATAAACTTTGAATTTGAATTTGAAACATATACCAGCTGAAACCTTTTTTCGCTCGATGACCTTTAGCCCTGGAAAGGGATTTATCGAGTCATTGGTAGACTTCATATGGTCCTACTTAGGGCGAAACGTCACCTAGTTAAAGCTGTGTGCTGTCTGTTGTTCGTTTATAATTTATGGGTCGCTCGCTGGTCACCAGAGTATTATTAAATTCGCCGGAAAGCGCTAAGCCCGTGACGGTCATATAGCGCCTGGGGAATGAAGGGTAATCAAAGGGGAGGGGTAGCTCCAGTTCCTAAGCTAAAGAGCCCTTCACATTCACCAATGCACTCTTCTTCCCTCTCTGAAGGGTCTGCCATCCAGTGACGGGTGTCTGGAGACAGCTCCTGTCCTTCCATCCAGAGACTGAGCTTACGAACGTGATGCCTATCTGTGTAGCGTAATGATAAATTAGGAAACAAGAAAGAGCTACTTTAGGTGTCACGTAGGTCGATCGCTAGCACACAGCTCACACACTGAGGTCCGGGGATCTAATCCTCGGTACGGCTGAAAGAAAACATTAGGACGCGCTTTCATAAGACACCTGCCGTCCCTGTTCACCCATCAGTGAAATGGGTACCTGGGTGTTAGTCGACTGGTGTGGGTCGCATCCTGGGATAAAATTTGCCTAAGATAAGATTTTTAACCCCGGAGGGTTAATCACCCAGGATAACCCAAGAAAGTCAGTGCGTCATCGAGGACTGTAACTTATTCTCATTGGGGTCCTTAATCTTGTCCCCCAGAATGCGACCCACACCAGTCGACTAGCATCCAGGTACCTATTTGCTGCTAGGTGAACAGGACTAAGGAAACGCGTCGAAATGTTTCCACCCACCGGGAATCGAACCCGGGCCTTCCGTGTATGAAGCGGGAGCTTTAGCCACCAGACCACCGAGCCTAACATGCCCGAAGTGCTCTGTATAACAAGCGGCTTTCTATATAGTAGCATGTCACTGATGTCAGCTAGGCCTGTATACCTTGTACAAGTTATTATATTATATATTACTAACGTTGCAACTCCCTGGCCGTGAAGATTGATGTGCTCTACTACGGTGCCGTTGATAACATAGGCTGGAGTGAAGAGGGTAAGTGTAGGCGCTCTCAATGTCAAAGTGATAACCTTAGTATCACTGTCGTGGCTACATTCCTGGGCATAGAATTCCGTCACATCTGCCAGCGTTGTGTTGATCATGGTCAGCTTGAGACTGTAGATAAAAGAAACAATTCTGGGTAAGCTTGATGTTAAGCCTGACACCAGAACGGACAGGCAGACAGATGCAGGTACAGACACAAACTCACTTAGGAAGAGAACAAGTAGTATTGGCAGGAGAATTTACTGCTAGAGCTAATATTAGTCTACTAATTTAAAAAGGAGAATGCGAATAATTCCATATTACTGAGGGTAACTGCAAGACAGTAAAAAATCAAGAACAGAGAAAATCAGGGATGAACGACACGTAAATAAGATGATAAAATGCATAGTAGATATCAGACCCATCACTTCCGGAATTGGCAGCATCCCTCAAAAACTAGCTAGAACCTGGGTAAAGCCTCTTTGAAAGTTGTTTATGGTATCAGTCATGCACACCTGAACACACTGGCGACCTCCTTGGTCGACTGAGATTATTATAATCAAGGGGAAGCACTAAACCGTAGGGTTATACAGCGCCTGTGGGGGGGGATGTAGAAAATATTCAAGTTTAATTCAGGGAACTGGAGCACAGATCCAATTCCCTAGATCAAGAGCCCCTCACCAGCGTCAAGGAACCTTCCTTGAGAGGGAGTTCGACTGAGAGACTATATAAAACTTACATAATAAAGAGCTACCAAGTTTAGACGTCAGTCTCGTGAGACTGACGTCTAAACTTGTATGTTGTTTGACCCAGCCATTAACCTCCTCTGCCGTAAGATCATTGAGATGATAACTTGACTGGTGGAGTACAGCTGACATGAAGCCTTAATTAACGACTCTAGTGCAGTCGATAGATTTCCAACCTAATATCCTCATCATTATCCTCAGCATGATCCTCATTATAATTACTGCCATTTATAAGTAACTAACCACGCACACAAAGGATTAATAACCGTAGCAACACATAAGAGAGCAATATACTCACTCGGCCATAAAATCCATGTTGACAATGAGATCCAGCGGAGTCTTCAAGGGCAGTGGGTCGGTAATGTTACTTAATAAGTCATCCAGAAGAGAGTTGATGATGGTTTCACAAACTACATCTATAGAGTAAATTTAAAGGAAACAATTACAAATAAATAATAATAAATAATAAAATAATAATCATAATCATAAATGAATAATAGTATCATAATCATAAATAATAATAATTATACTGATAAATAATAATAATAATAATAATAAATAATAATAATAATATACCCCTTCTATAGTCGGTCGACTTTAATAGGGTTGAAGGTCCATATATAATTATTGTGTTAGCGATACTATCGACACCATGCCCAGCCCTTCTAGGGCAGGGTAGGTGCCTGAGCCAGAGCTTGCAGCTCACAAGACTGTCATTCCCATTAACCCCCTTGGGGCGGGGATGGCACACCAGAGAGGCCTAGCTTCTCCCTACGAGCCCCGTGAGGGCGAGGAATGTGGCTAGGCCTGGGGACAGTTGGTCCCAAAGATGAGGGGGTACTTGTGCCTCCTCCCATGGGAGACTTAGGTCTCAGACACTCCCAAGACAGGGAGCCAAAGTCGGGCCACCAGTTGGAAAATGCCCGGGCCGGGAGAATACCGGCGAATCTTTAATAATAATTAGCGATACTTGACAAGCACAACAGGTGAAAATTTCAGTAGCTATAAAAAACTGTTATACACGGGTGTTCTATGAGTAAAAAATTTTTTTGAGTACTTATAGGTTGTTTGAACGTTTATGTATTTTTGCTGCGAGGTATGTGATTATACATAAACGTCAGTATACATATTTGGTGCGCAATTATAGATAGATGGTATACTATAAAAAATTATATTTTGAGTCTGCATTCACTATTAACCAGTATGAGTCATCAAAGCCTGTGTAAACACACTTGATCCAAGGAAAAATAAGGAGGGCTGTTTAATTCCCTGCATCAAGAGCCCTTTACTGACATCAAGAGGTTTTTATAAACCCCTTGAAGCGTCAATTCCAGAATAGGGCATGTATGGTATACACATTATACAGTATTCATCATCCTGTATACATTATACAGTATACATCATACAGTATTCATCATACATTATGCAGTTTACCTGGAGTTTACTTGGAGAGAGTTCCGGGGGTCAACGCCCCCGCGGCCCGGTCTGTGACCAGGCCTCCTGGTGGATCAGAGGCCACACTGATTTTCTTGGGTTATCCAGGGTTACTAACACTCTCCCGGGTTAATAAATTAAAATGACGTTGGCCTTTTATGTTGTACCATTTAGAAGAAAACCCCGTGTGACCTGACCATTGGATCAGAACCCCCCCCCTCCTTTCCTAATGGAAATTATCCACAATGACTGGCTTTCTTGGGTCATCCTGGGCTAATAATCCTCCGAGTTAATCCGAATAAAATCCTCGTATATGTAATACATAACTTCATCCTCTGTACATGGCCGGATTAAGGCATGGGCTTCAGGGTCCTCCGCCAGCTGAAGGGCCTCCAGGTGGTGCAGCCCAGGGGCCTCCGCCAGCTGAAGAGCCTCCAGGTGGTGCACCCCAGGGGCCTCCGCCAGCTGGAGGGCCTCCAAGTGGTGCAGCCCAGGGGCCTCCGCCAGCTGAAGGGCCTCCAGGTGGTTCAGCCCAGGGGTCTCCGCCAGCTGAAGGGCCTCCAGGTGGTGCAGCCCAGGGGCCTCCGCCAGCTGGAGGGCCTCCAGGTGGTGCAGCCCAGGGGCCTCCGCCAGCTGAAGGGCCTCCAGGTGGTGCAGCCCAGGGGCCTCCAGGTGGTGCAGCCCAGGGGCCTCCGCCAGCTGAAGGGCCTCCAGGTGGTTCAGCCCAGGGGCCTCCGCCAGCTGAAGGGCCTCCAGGTGGTTCAACCCAGGGCCTCCGCCAGCTGAAGGGCCTCCAGGTGGTGCAGCCCAGGGGCCTCCGCCAGCTGAAGGGCCTCCAGGTGGTGCAGCCCAGGGGCCTCCGCCAGCTGAAGGGCCTCCAGGTGGTTCAGCCCAGGGGCCTCCGCAAGCTGAAGGGCCTCCAGGTGGTTCAGCCCAGGGGCCTCCGCCAGCTGGAGGGCCTCCAGGTGGTTCAGCCCAGGGGCCTCCGCCAGCTGAAGGGCCTCCAGGTGGTTCAGCCCAGGGGCCTCCGCCAGCTGAAGGGCCTCCAGGTGGTGCAGCCCAGGGGCCTCCGCAAGCTGAAGGGCCTCCAGGTGGTTCAGCCCATTGGCCTCCGCAAGCTGAAGGGCCTCCAGGTGGTGCAGCCCAGGGGCCTCCGCCAGCTGGAGGGCCTCCAGGTGGTGCAGCCCAGGGGCCTCCGCCAGCTGAAGGGCCTCCAGGTGGTGCAGCCCAGGGGCCTCCGCCAGCTGAAGGGCCTCCAGGTGGTTCAACCCAGGGCCTCCGCCAGCTGAAGGGCCTCCAGGTGGTGCAGCCCAGGGGCCTCCGCCAGCTGGAGGGCCTCCAGGTGGTGCAGCCCAGGGGCCTCCGCCAGCTGAAGGGCCTCCAGGTGGTGCAGCCCAGGGGCCTCCGCCAGCTGAAGGGCCTCCAGGTGGTGCAGCCCAGGGGCCTCCGCCAGCTGGAGGGCCTCCAGGTGGTTCAGCCCAGGGGCCTCCGCCAGCTGAAGGGCCTCCAGGTGGTTCAGCCCAGGGGCCTCCGCCAGCTGAAGGGCCTCCAGGTGGTTCAGCCCAGGGGCCTCCGCCAGCTGGAGGGCCTCCAGGTGGTGCAGCCCAGGGGCCTCCGCCAGCTGAAGGGCCTCCAGGTGGTGCAGCCCAGGGGCCTCCGCCAGCTGGAGGGCCTCCAGGTGGTGCAGCCCAGGGGCCTCCGCCAGCTGAAGGGCCTCCAGGTGGTGCAGCCCAGGGGCCTCCGCCAGCTGAAGGGCCTCCAGGTGGTTCAGCCCAGGGCCTCCGCCAGCTGAAGGGCCTCCAGGTGGTGCAGCGCAGGGGCCTCCGCCAGCTGGAGGGCCTCCAGGTGGTGCAGCCCAGGGGCCTCCGCCAGCTGAAGGGCCTCCAGGTGGTGCAGCCCAGGGGCCTCCGCCAGCTGAAGGGCCTCCAGGTGGTTCAGCCCAGAGGCCTCTGCCAGCTGTAGGCCCTCCAGATGTTCTCAACAACTTACAATTTACTGATGTCTGGAGAAATTTGTTTAAAGAAACTTTCGCAAATCAAATGTCTGAAATTTAATTGTGTAACGTTTACCTTATAAAAATGATTTTAATATCTCTTTTTTCCTTTTGAAAATATCACTGGGGGCCTCACAGTGCCTGTAGCCCAGGGGCCTACAAAATCTTAACCCGGCTCTGCCTCTGTCTTGCAGACGCACAAGTCCCTCGTCGACAACATTCTCCTGACTACACGACCTGTGGTTGAATGGCCTTACCTTCTGGTTCTTGAGCAGAGGTAGCATGGATGTCCTGGGGCACCAGTAGCATCAGTAGTACTGTCACCAGAGTCACTCTCGATATCTCCCACATCATGGTGCCTGTCAGATCAAGGTGCCTGGAAGATAAAACTGACTAAGATCAAGGTGACTAAGATCAAAGTGCCGTCAATAATAGTTTTACCTAGGTAAGGCTCACCTACGTCATCACCTACGTCAGCATCAACGCCAGTTTGTATATCAGTATTATTACATTCAGCTTGATGCGCTAATCCAACAAGGGCCACACAGCCCTCTGGGGGATTGGAAGATAACCAGATAACGATCCAAGGAAGAGGACAGTAGCTCCAATTCCCTGAATCAAGAGTCCTTTGCCGGCATCAGGGCACCCCTCTGAAGAGTCGTGAAGTGGGTTGTGCAAGGTGCTTAAGTAAATCTATGATAAGATATTTCCCCCCCCCCTTCAGTGAGGTATAGATAAGCCCCCCCCCCAAAAAAAAAAAAGTATAGCATATCATTTCTTAGGAATTATATGATGTTATCTTAAATTCTGATTACGCTATGGACCGGGAAGCCAGCGGGAGGCCTCGTCATGTGACCAAAAGGCTCCAGCTAACTCGTTATCATATGACTGGGAGCAGCGTCAGAAAGACCAGTCCTGTTCCTCTCTGTGTAAAACTTTATCAAGTCAGTAACCTGGTAAAGCTCTACGCAGAGTGATACGTTGAACTTTATCAAGTCAGTAATCTGGTAAAGCTCTACGCAGAGTGATACGTTGTACCAATTAAAGCTTGTCCTGCAGCATCAGATTTTCTTCACAAATTCATTATAAATTTATGTATTCCCCCAAAGAATGAAACAGTTAATATTTAGCGTAACATAAAAGGACACAAAACCGTGACTGGAACAATACAGAAATAATGGTACAAGACGGACCGAAACGCAGTCATAAGTTTTATTCTCCTACGTGCAGGTTGTGTACAATATTTTATAATTAAATCGTGCGTCTAATGGCCCAGTTTTATCTGGGTCTCGACTTTTACTCAGAAAACATCTTGACTCTGTACTTTTCTTTTCAACACACCGGCCCGGTGTGTTAAAAAGGTCTACCACTGAGGGAGGGAGACCTGAAAAAAACAGGAACTGCCTTTATCATCTTTCACTTAACGACTGTCTTGCTTAATAATGAATGCATTTCCTGTTTTTTTGGTCACCTTACCCCACTTGTGCCTTCACAAATTCTTGCTCTATCGATGCCTGATACAGTGATAATCAGTACTTCATTATTAACCTACATGTGACCCCTCTGAGACAACACACAAGATAACGATAACGTCGTTATCATAACTTTGCACCACTGCTCTACTCTCTACGTTCAATAGACTAATGTCTACGTAACTTTCTGGATATTTATTTTGCCTCATCCACATTATTCTCTAACTTAATTTATACTACACTGGATAGTCTTAATTTCCGTGTGTGGTGATATTATTTACGTTAGAAAAGGGCTCCTGCTACGGATGTTAATTCTTGTGTTGACCACCTTAAGACACTGCTCATTTGAGCGAGGCCTTTCACTGCCCTGTGGGGTCATCCTGGTAGTGGTATTTTTTTTTCCAGGAGCTATGAGAAAAGTGTCTGCTGACGTGGTCTCAGTAGAGTGATGGCTTTCTTAGTGGATCCATTACCACAAAACTCTAATGATGATTGTTTAGTCGATGTTACTTACAGGACATTTCTATCTCTCTCTCTCTCTCTCTCTCTCTCTCTCTCTCTCTCTCTCTCTCTCTCTCTCTCTCTCTCTCTCTCTCTCTCTCTCTCTCTCTCTCGCACACACACACAGTACTGTTCCTGATTTATGTGAACGACATTCAAGATGCATCTCTTTTCGCTGATGATGTAAAACTAATGAGCAAAGTAAAAACAAATGAGGACGGGGAAAGGTTGCAAATGGATCTGGACAAATTGCAGAGTTGGTCAGATAAGTGACTGCTTAGATTCAACTCTAGCAAATGTAAGGTTTTGAAGATTGGGGAAGGATTCAGAAGCCCGGACACGGAGTATAGACTCAAATACAGAGCATAGACCTTATTCAGAGCGAAGGACCTGAGAGTGAGCCATACCCCCGGCCGGGATTGAACCCGCGGTCGTAGAGTCTCAAAACTCCAGCCCGTCGCGTTAGCCACTAGACCAGCTAGCCACAACAAGATTCATCCAACTAGGTATATTTCTACACCATAGGAAAGTTAGCACAGGCACCTCTGTGACCACAAATGCAAGTTTTTACAGACGAATCTCCAGCTAGCGTGGCCGTGACGAACTCTAGCTCAAGTCCCTTCACTGCCGTCAACATGACTCAAGAAATCGTAATGACACGATTGCAAATAAACCATACCCCCGGCCGGGATTGAACCCTCGGTCATAGAGTCTCAAAACTCCAGCCCGTCGCGTTAGCCATGTTAGTCATGTTGACGGCAGTGAAGGGACTTGAGCTAGAGTTCGTCACGGCCACGCTAGCTGGAGATTCGTCTGTAAAAACTTGCATTTGTGGTCACAGAGGTGCCTGTGCTAACTTTCCTATGGTGTAGAAATATACCTAGTTGGATGAATCTTATTGTGGCTAGCTGGTCTAGTGGCTAACGCGACGGGCTGGAGTTTTGAGACTCTATGACCGCGGGTTCAATCCTGGCCGGGGGTATGGTTTATTTGCAATCGTGTCATTACGATTTCTTGAGTCACCTGAGAGTGAGCATAGTGCCTAGGATATCCCCAGAAGCTCACATCAACCGAATAACCTTTACAGCCAATGCTTGCCTGGAAAATCCGAGAGTTTCCTTCAGGAATCTCAACAAAAAGTTATTCTAGGGGCTTTATATGACATATGCCAGGTCAGTCTTGGAGTATGCAGCACCAGTATGGAACCCACACATGAAGCAGGTTAAGAAAAACTGGAGAAAGTACATTATTATGCAAATAAACTTGTTCCAGAGGTAAGGAACATGAACTACGAAGAGAAGCTGCAGAACCAGGAGAAATGATAATATACAAAATACGTAGGACAGACAGTGTCAAACTGTTAAAAAGTAGGGAAACAGGTACTCTGGGGCACAGCTCTAAGTTAAGGACACAGATAAGTTACAGAGATGTTAGAAAGTATTTCTTTAGTCTCGGAGTGGGCGGGAAGTGGAATGACTTAGACTAGGAAGTAGTGGAGGCAGACTCCATACATAGTTTGAAGATTAGGCACAATAAGGCCCACGAGGTTGAGTGAATCAAGTGAGCAGCAAGTTGAGAAGCTAACACCGGACCCCTGCAGCCACATGTGTGTACATATACAGGTGAGTGCACCCCACACACAAATATACATACATACATATAAATATATATAAAATATATATATATATTATATAATATATATACTATATATATATATATATATATATATATGTATATATATATATATATATATATATATATATATATATATATATATATACATTATATATATATATATTATATATATATATATATATATATATATATATTATATATATATATATATATATATATATATATATATAAAATAATATATATATAATATAGGGAGGTACCACCTCTAGAACTATTATAGGGACCCTCATCCTCAGAGAAAAGAATAAACTTGCTTCAGGGAAAACTCAATATTCTCCCTGAAGCTGTTTGAGAATTTTCTCCTACCACCCCCTATATTATATATATATATATATATATATACATATATATATATATATATATATATATATATATATATAATATTTTATATATAATATTAATATATAAGTGTGGCTTCACGGGATAGCCTGGAATTTGGTATTGGTGTGATTTTAAACCAACTGTTTAGGAATTAAACAAACTAAATATTTCAATCTATATCGGAGGCCCACTTCAAGAAAGAGATTAAGATATTATAGTACATTTTGATAATTAATATAATATATATATATATATATATATATTTAAAATATATATATATATATATATATATATATATTATATTATATATTATATATATGCTACTTACACTTAGGTCACACTACACATACATGTACAAGCATATATATACACACCCCTCTGGGTTTCCTTCTATTTTCTTTCTAGTTCTTGTTCATTTCCTCTTATCTCCATAGGGAAGTGGAAAAGAATTCTTCCTCCGTAAGCCATGCGTGTTGTAAGAGGCGACTAAAATGCCAGGAGTAAGGGGCTAGTAACCCATCTTCTGTATAAATTACTAAATTTAAAAAGAGAAACTTTTGTTTTTCTTTTTGGGCCACCCTGCCTTGGTGGGATACGACCGGTGCGTTGAAAGAATATATATATATATTATAATATATATATAAAAATATAATATAATATATATATTATATATAATATAAAATATATATATATATATATATTTTTTTTTTTTATTTTATTATCACCCGGCCGATTCCCACCAAGGGGGGGTGGCCCAAAAGAAAAATTTCCTCATTTTACTCCCTCACTGCTTGCCAGAAGGGGGCTAAAAAAAAAAAAAATAAAAAAAAAAAAAAAAAAAAAAAAATAAACAACAAAAAACCAAAAACAAAAAAAAAACAACCCCTCGGGCCCACTTTTTTTTCCATTTTCCCACTAAAAGGGAAAAAAAAAGAACCCCGAAACCACTTTTAAACAAAAAGCCAAAAAACCAAAAACCCCACCAAAAACAAAAAAAAAAAAACGCTTTTCACCCCCAAAAAAAACACTCTTAAAAAAAAAAAAAAAAAAAAAAAAAAAAAATAAAAAAAAAAAAAAAAAAAAAAAAAAAAAAAAAACCACCGGCCATTCCCCCCCCCCAAAAAAAAAATTTCCCCCCAAATCCACACCCCAAAAAACTTTCACACAAAACGCAACCAAAAACAAACCCCCTTTAACAAACACAAACCCCCCCCAACCAATTCCCCTGGGCCCAACCCCAAAAAAAAAAACCCACACCCAACAGACCAAAAAAAACCTTTTAAAAAACCCAAAAAACAAACCCTTTGGGGGGCCCCCCCCCACCAAAAATTTTACCCCCCCCAAAAAAAAAAACCCCCCCCCACCCCCCCCCCCACTACAACCAACCAAAAACACCCCCACCCACAGCCCCCCCCACCCAAAAAAA